AAAATGTTTAAGGAAATAGAATAGATTTAATTTGGTTATTTATAACATAGCAATTTAAAATAATTATACTTATTAACTTAAATATACTTAATGCTTAAATATTTGTTTACCGTTTAACTTAACGTATTAGGAAAGCTTTAAATTATATTTAAACAAATTAACTGGGGTTTAAGTGAAATATATTTAATATAAATAAAAATGAAGTTAATGTTACACTAGAATAAATAGATTGTAATTGGAATTCATTGGTGTTTTATTTTTGTTTTTGTTCACAAGGGAGTTATAATGATAGGGGAATATCATTAAGTATTAAACAAATTGAATTTTTACTTCTATTTACAGTAAAGAGGTATTCGTCCCTGAATTTGTATTTAAATACAAATGAAATTTAACTCTCGCAATTCCTCCTGTGTTGTTTTCTCTACTGAGTCACCAAAAATATTCCCTTTAGAGGGTCCCCGGTCTAAAGTGCCGATGAAGCGGCCGTAAATATTTTATCTCAACGCGTGTGTCCGCACATTATTCATTAAAATTTGCTTCATCAACGGCGAGGAATGCCCGGCGAACAAAAAAGCCGAGTCAGAGTCAGAACGCGAAATTGAAGCAAACGAGGCAGCAGTAAAAACTTCCAATTACTCAGGCGCATCCTGGCATGCCCATCCTCTTCAGCATCAAGTGGGTTGGGCCCATAAAAAGGATATGGCGCGAATGCATGTGTACATGCATGTAGTTGCGCGGATCTGTGTGCTTTTAATATCCTTTTCTTTGAATAATTCATGCACACAGGACTGACCACCACCCCTTTTTGTTCCGAACCCGAATCCGAATCCGAAACTCTTCAGCGGCAATCAGACGAGTTGACGAGGGCCGCCCGGAAGGGTTGCCATTCATTCATACCAAAGGCAAACTTATTAATTGGCACTTGAGCTGTGGTAACCACAGGCCCTTCCCATCCCTCTCCATATGGATGGATCCGTTCCCCCCTTTGCATGCCGTATTCCCCTCGTCACTCAACTCTTTTTGAGCAGGCATAATTTAACAGCGTTTCTGTTTTTTTTTTCCCCCTTCGCGTTTGTCAACTGAACGCTGGCAAGGACCCCTTTGGATATTCCTGGTAATCCACTGGCACAACAGCAACAACAGCGGGTTCTGACCACGGGGGTCGAAAACATGGTCCAAAGGGCCCTGGTGATCTGAATACCCTGCAGCCTGCCGGTTTAATTAAATCAGTTTGGGCCTCGAATAATGCGTGAACTGGTTGGCTAAAGGACTTCCTGTAATGTTTTCTTAAAAGAAAGGTTGAAAATTTATTTTACATAATTTTTCCTAGGAATTTCATATTAATTAAGTTGCCAGTAATTTATTTTTAGTTTATATACAATATTCTTGTTTCTTTCAAATATGTTTTATTATTAGTTTCAAATAAAGAATTGTAATTTAATAGTCTTAAATCTTAAAATGTTCTATTGAAATTAAAAAATAAAACTAAATTTAACTACTGCGCCATAATAAGTAGATATTTATTAAATTTATATATACAGACAATTTTGCATTGCATTCAAAATACTTCTGGTAAAACATAATTTATGGCAAGAGCTTCAATAATTTGCATATGAAAGCAAAAACTCGCTACTGCAAAACTCTCATATTTTGCATAAAATAACTTTTAGGCCAACAACTATCTTGCCGCCCAGATACTTAAAGCCTGTGGACTTTACTTCCTTGCTTTTCATAGGGTATATGTTCAAATTTGACTGACAGCGCGACATATGAGACAACCTCATATCCTCAGTCTCAGGCTCGGCGCCATTGTCACGTTTCAACATTTAAATTAAAATGTTTCGGTTAAAGGACGGCTGGAAAACTGCGAAACTTTCCTTGCGTTCAGCGGAGAGTAAAACCGCAGTGAACAAAAAATCTCAGCAGCCATATCCATTTAAATATGGCCCAGCACAACAACAAAAAAAACAGGGGAGAGGAAAAAAAAAAACTGAAAAATGCTTAAAAAATGCCTTGGTTGCGCTTTTTTCGCTGGCCGCTGTCTTTTGCAGTTGGCGTTGCTTGTTTGGCGTTCTGCACTTGAGAGCCGCCTGGTTGTTTGTGTTTCTGTTGTTGTTGGTGGTGCCATCCCACGTCCACTATCCACTATCCTCTATCCACCATCCACTATCCGCCATCCGCCATCCGCTATCCGCCATTGCCAGTGGCAGGTTCGTTTTGACCAGCTTCATTGCCGTCGCCTGCACTCGTCTTCATTTATTCAATGCCGCATCGGCTTTGGGCCACACGGCGAATGCGTGCTCTGCGAAATTCCATACAAGAAACTTTTTCGTTTCGAAAAGGAAAATAAAGAGAAAAAAGAAACACTGAGGTGGCACATAACAAGTATGTTTGCAAGTTTACCAACAGCTTGCTTTTAAAGAGTTGAGCCGGTTTTTTGTGGATTAAAACTGTGAAGGAGAAATTGGTGCCTAGTTCCGTATTTTAGCTAGATTGAATATTATATTATGTCCATTTACTAAGTACTTAGGTACTAATCCAAAATATGTAGTATAAATGATTAAAACGAATTAAAAATCATTAAAATGATTTTAATGCATATCAAACAATAACACCAACAGCGAGGTAAAAAACATTCACAATATTGGATATCAAATTTTGTAACGAAAAAAGATTATTCTTTGGACAAGCCAATCCAAATGTTTAACATTTCTCCGTTTCGTCCTATGCATCAAAAAAGAATGTGCTTACCGATGCAGGTATTTCTCTGTTCTATAATCATTTTTCGTCCATACTTAAAAATACATGGTTGTTTTATTGATACTGCATATTCTTTAAAATCAATAATTTCTCTCTTTGCAGTAAACCTTTCTTCTAAATGGAATCAGCCTTGACTGCAGCGACCCTGTCGAATCATGCACTTTCATTAAGTAACTGCAATCAGGCGAATAAAAATCCTTTGGAGAGCAATCTGTTGGCTTGGCTGGTTGCCTTAACCTTGTGTCTGGCTGAGCGTTGCTTAATGCACTTTTAATTGAGCTGAGCACCCTAAGCGAGGGGAAATTGAAAAGAAGTGTAAATGGAAAATTATAATTAACATTGCCAGATGCTTGTATCTCGCAACCACCCACAACCCACCAGCCGGCCATCTCTTTAATTGCAATTTTGCTGGCTGCAAGGTGAGCACATCTAACATTGCGCATACGCCATGTGTTTTCCATTAGCTGCCATAAATTATTGAAAATCAGGATTTATGCCCGAATTGTCACGTTCATGCGCCAAACTAGCACCTAGCCCAGCATTGTAATTGATTAATGCGAGTCTCTTGTCGGCATGTCCGTACCAGAAAAAAGGGCCTGCAAATTTGCATATTTGAAATTATGACAATTACACGATATTGTCGTTGTGCATATGCCGAATGAAGTCTGATAAATAACATCAATAATTTTGTGCGCAGCTTTAAAGGTTTTTGGATTATAAAATATTCAGAGAAAGTCTGCTGAGGAAAGTAAGAAATTTACATACAATTTATTAACCCTCAAATTCAGAAATATAGTAATTGTGGAGAGATTATTAGTTTAACAAATTTCAAAAAAATGTAGTGTTCCAGATATTATAAATTTTAAACTCTTTGGACTCAATCTAAAATCTAAAATGCCCCTCAATGTTTTTCTCTGCCTAATATTTAATATCATATTTGCTTTGCTTATTTTTCCTCTTGTACATAATTTGATGGCAACATTTCCATTCAATTCGCATGACATTTGCCTACACATATATTGCATTTCATTGACAGGCCTTCTGTGCGTAGCAGCTGTCAGCTGCGAATGCGAATAAATTGTATTTTTCCTAACCAAATTCAATTACCTAATGATTTGTTTTACATGCAGCTTTTTGTTCGTTTCCACAGCACAGACATCCTAAATCCAAAGGAACGGCGACGAGAGGAAGCATCATTCAATTGCCGAAATTCACACGCACGAACAGTGCTGCAAATTAGTCAGTGGCCATAGTCAGCATGTATATATATGGATATAGTATGTCTAACCACTCGGCAGTGGCCATCCGGTGACCCAACATTTATTTGATTTGGTCAATATGAATGTTGCCAGTCTTGGCCTGTCGTTGATGTTGATTGAGTGCATTTTATTCCATTCGCCTCTGACTCTTTCGACAAATATTGACTTTCAATAACAAATGTTGCTTTAGCTAAATAAGTTAATTAACTCGAAATATATGTGACCCGGGCTACCTATCAATCAATTAAAAAACTAAGCTAAGAAAAATTGAAAATGTGCCCAAATAAACTTTAAGTTTTTGTATCTTTTTAATGTTTTCCCACTTAAAACTCAATGTCCCATCACTTTTAACGCCTTTATGAGATTTGGTATTTAATTCCAATTCAATAAATTAATTATGAGCCAATAATAATATAAATACAACATCCAATTGAAAACTGTTTGCAATTAACTTTATGGTAAATAGATTATGGCTTATTATGCCTGAGTAATTCGTACGGTTTATAGTCTAATGAATGGCGAATGATAAGGATGTAGATTGCTTAGAATTTACTATTTTTCCCCGAATTAACAACTTTAATAGCATGATAGCCAAACAATTTTATGGCAAAGTTCCTGAGTAAACATTACGCTGCAATTGTCAATGGGCAAAAATATAAGCTATTATTTTTAAATATAGAAATAGAAAACTTTTGTTTGTATCTTCATCAAATACATGTCTTTCACAATCGTAATTACGTGTCTGAATTAACGAAAAGAGATTATATTGGATGGGATCTGGTTGGAAGTTGAAGTGGCTTTCAGAAGTGGTTGCCTTTATCGTAAATTTGGCATTGATTGTGCTTGTGTTCGGTTCTTAACTTTGTGATATTTATGGCCTCATTTATAATCGGCTTTTAAAAAATACGTAATCTTAGCGATAAGTTGTCCATATAAGAAGGAACTACGCCTATCCGAAATTTGGCATTACGTGCACTGAAACTACGCGATGTGGAGCAATCGCTGCTCGATTTTGATCCTGGCGCTGCTGGTCGCCAGCACTGCGCGAAAAGTATCCGGTAGATTGCCGAGAATCCTGCCGGAATCCTTTGCCCAAGGCGATGAAGGTGTGATAGTGCGCGGAGATTGTGAATTTAAGGTGAACGGTGACCTCAACGACCCCGCTCCTCTGTTTTCGCGACACAATTCCTACGAAATTATTGTACCAGATCCCACCGATACAGTGCGTCTGGTTAATGGCGAACTTTTGGATATGTTCTGCCCTGGAGTGGGATTTGCGGCCCCATTTGCAAATCGGTCGCAGGTGACGGCTACGTGTCTGCAGAATAAATACTTTCTGGTCGATGATCTCATCTATCCGTTTGCCAACTTCTCTTGCACCAGCTGGCCCACCTTCACTGCCCTTCGAACGGGAAAGGATTGTAACGGAGGCACAGATCTCGTCCAGGTGGGATTCGAAGTGGAGGATGGCGGTTTCCTGCAGTCCTACGAACTTTGTCACGACGCCGAGGCGGAAGCAACGCGATATGTTCATCATGTGCTCTACCCATCCAGCTACGATTATCAGCACGGAGTGGCGAGACCCAGCTTTATAGAACTTGACTTTTATGGAGGAAGAGATGTGAACACCAAGTACACCCAGGTTCAGCAGAATATCACCATCAGCAATATTCTTGGATTGGATGCCTCGCCCTATTTCAACTATAGTGATGATCGCATCCTGGCTCGAGGACATATGATTGCCAAAACCGATCAGATCTTTGGTGCGGCCCAGCATTCCACATTCCTGTTCATCAATGTGGCTCCTCAGTGGCAGACCTTCAATGGAGGCAACTGGGAGAAAGTGGAGACAAGTGTTCGGAAGTTTGTGGCCGATCGCAATATTACTACTGATTGTTATACCGGAACCTGGGGTGTTTCAACACTACCCGATGTGGATGGAGTCGAAAGGGAGCTTTACCTCGACTTTGATGAGAACAACAATGGTTTGATCCCCGTCCCCAAGATGTATTATCGCGTGATCATCGATCGGCTGAGTCGCGAAGGCATAGTAATTATTGGCATTAACAGTCCTTATTTAACTCTGGAGCAAATACTGAAGGACTACATCCTGTGCAAGGATATTGGTCATCAGCTGAGCTGGCTGACTTGGAAAAAGGAAGATCTCCACGAAGGTTACTCGTATGCTTGCACCGTGGAGGACTTTATCGAAGTGGTCAAGGACTTGCCTTTGGAAGATCTATACACAAGTGGAGTTCTTGGACTAGATGATGTGACTACTGTTGAGCCTTCTAGTACAACGGATACATCGACTACAACTACTGTGGAGCCGACTTCGACTACAGTTTCTTCTACTACGGAAGAACCGAGCTCATCTACTGCTTCACCCACCACGGAACCACCTTCATCCACAGTCTCTACCACACCAGAACCGAGCTCTTCCACTGTCACACCCACTGTTGAACCAAGTTCTTCTACTGTTACATCCACTGTAGAGCCAAGTTCTTCTACTGTTACATCCACTGTAGAGCCTAGTTCCTCTACTGTTACATCCACTGTAGAGCCAAGTTCTTCTACTGTTACATCCACTGTAGAACCAAGTTCTTCTACCACTTTGGAACCAAGTTCAACTACTACCTCATCCACTGTGGCACCTAGTTCAACCACTGTGGAACCCAGCTCATCCACTGTAGAACCCTCTTCATCTTCTTCAGTGTCCCCTACGACATCAAGTCCCCCCGTCACCACTCCCACTCCCATCGTAAGCCCCTGCAAGTTTAGTATAAATGGTGATCTCAAGGACCCTGCTCCACTACTGACACCACAAGGAGCTCTCAGCTGGCTTGTGCCCGATGAAAGTGGTAATTACACAGTCGAAGAAGGATCCTCCATCGATCTGCATTGTACTGGAGCTCTGGTATCGCCTTTCAATAAATATACCGCACTGACGGCTCGTTGTGTGGGTGATCAGTTGTACGAGGCTGAAGGACAGCAGGTCAAGATTCGAGAATTCGTCTGCCAGAGTTGGCCCACCTATGTGGCCTTGCGAACGGGATTAACCTGCCCGGGTGGCACGGATCAGGTGCAGATTGGATTCGATGTGGCCGCCGGTTATCTTACCCATGTGGAACTTTGCTATGATCAGCAGGAGCAGATCTCCAGATATGCTCGCTATGAACTGACGCCTGCTAATGTGGCCTATCAGCGGGGAGTTGCTCAACCTGGTTATCTCCGAGGTGACTTCTACACTGGTGAAGATGTCAACGTTCTGTATGGTCAATCGCATCAGCTGCAGGCATTTAATACTGCTCTCGGCTTGGATGCCAGTCAATATTTCGACAGCACAAAGGATCTCTACTTAACCCGAGGACAGTTGGCAGCTCGTCTTGATTTTGTCCACAGTTCCGCCCAGAGAGCAACCCACTTCTATGTGAATGCAGTTCCTCAGTGGAGGAGCAGCAATATTGGTAATTGGCTGGCCGTGGAGACCAGTTTGCGGCAATTTGTGGCAGATGAGGCCCTCAATGTGAGTGTCCATGCTGGCAGCTATGACATTTCAACTCTACCCAACTCCCAAGGTGTTCAGACACCTCTCTACCTGAATGCCGAAACCAAACAGCTGCCTGTTCCCAAGTTATTTTATCGCATAGCTATCGATGTGGAAAGTCGCAAGGGTATTGTTTTAATAGTGGTCAACAATCCGCATATAACTCTGGCGGAGACTTTGCAGGACTATGTGATCTGTGAGGATGTGGGTGCGCAGTTGGATTGGATTGACTGGGACAAAACAAACCTGCAAAAGGGTTACTCCTATGCCTGCTCTGTGGAAAGTTTTACGCAGGTGGTGAAGGACCTGCCCACGGATCAACTACAGACTACTGGAATACTTGGTTTGAGTGGTCAGGTCTTGGAAAATGAGCTGTGCACCTTTCAAGTAAACGGAGATCTCAAGGATCCAGCTCCATTATTTGTGATAAGAAGTGAGCTAGGGCAAGCGAGATATTTGGAACCGGATCACGAAGGATATGTGCAGTTGAAACATGGGGAGTCCTTGGAGTTCCATTGCACCAAATCCTTCACTGGATTATTCTCCGGTTACACTTTCCTGAATTCCACTTGCTGGCAACAGCAGAGTTTCCTGACCCTGGGCAGTTTGTATCAGCTGCAGGACTTTGTTTGCACGTCCTGGCCAACTTACACAGCTCGTAGGACCTCTCGTCCTTGCAACGGGGGTACCGATCTCCTGGAAGTGGGATTCCAGCTCTCATCCTCCTCCTCCTCCGATGACTTCCTGCAGACCTACGATGTGTGCCACAATGAACTGACCGAGGTCACCCGCTATGTGCATCATGTTTTGCATCCGGGAAGTGCCCAATATCAGCGATCTGTTTCACGACCGACCTTTATTCCCGGAGACTTTTACGGCGGCAAGGATGTGAATACGCTGTATACGCAGGTCCAGCAGAATATCACGGTATCGAAGATCCTGGGCATGGATGCCTCGCCCTACTTTAATATCAGTGGAAATGTGTACCTGGCTCGAGGACATCTCTCCGCTAAAACCGACTTTGTCTTTGGGTCACCTCAACGGGCCTCGTTCTTCTTTGTGAATGTGGGTCCCCAGTGGCAGACCTTCAACGGAGGCAATTGGGAACGGGTTGAGGATAGTGTGAGGAAGTTCGTGGCTGATGAAAACATCACAGTGGATTGCTATACGGGCACCTGGGGTGTATCCACCCTTCCCGATGTGGATGGCATCGAAAAGGAGCTCTATCTGGACTTTGATGAAAACAATAATGGTTTGATCCCAGTGCCCAAATTGTACTTCCGCGTGGTTATTGATCGCGAAAGCAAAAAGGGTATCGTTCTGATTGGAGTCAATAATCCACATGTCGATCTGGAGCAAATTGAACGGGAGTACATCATCTGCAAGGATATTGGCGACCAATTGAGTTGGGTCAGTTGGACTAAGGAGGATCTGAAGAAGGGCTACTCCTATGCCTGCACTGTGGATGACTTTATTTCTGTGGTTAAGGACCTGCCATTGGAGGACCTTCAAGTTGAAGGTGTACTAGGCATTCAAGACTAGATTTTGTAGGTAAAACCAAACGAATTTCTTAATTTAAAACCAATAAAAAAATATTATATTACCTAATCGGAGAGTTATTTTTCTGTCAGGAAAGGTCGAAAAAAATGGCCTTTAAGCACGTTTAAATTTAGTTGTTATTGGCCATAAAGCTAAGAAATCACGTTTCGTTTTTGTTCTTTTTGGGTTTTATTGCATGTTGGACATATTGATAAAAGTCCGGTTATCAGATGCTTGGCCTTATCGTTTATGGCCGGCACACAGCTATTTATTCACCCTGCCATTGGGCTATTTGCTCACGTGCCGCACGTTTTCCACAGTCGGTGGATTTTCCCATGCCGTTTTCAGTGGCCCAAATCGCAGTCCCTTGGCGCGAATCGAAGTCCCCATGGCAGTGACTTTCACATTACTTATCCGTCACATTGTATTACTTGTGTGGTTTCTTTTGTTTATCTTATCGCACCGCAATCGTATGAAGTGTACGCCTGCATGGTTAATGATTATAATGGACTTTTCAGGGAGTAAACAAAAGGCACAAAAATAAAGAGATAGAACTCAACACGCATTTCTTGATTTATATTTGTTGAGTAATCGCTTGAGAACCGTCGATTCTTGCAGATTAAAAATGGGTTGATGACTATCTGCCTTAGCTTAAAATAATCAGTAATATCAACTATCAAGGCTAGAAATAAATACTCGTTTATTTATGACTTGAACTTCGTTTAGTTCAAAGACCGTTTAATGGCGTAGTTTTACTCTGTTAGCCAGTATTTGTTCCAAATAATGTAAAATTTAATTTCATTAATTTATTGTATTCTAAATAACTGTGACAAATAAGCCATAACTTTTAATTAGCCATATTTAATGGTATTTTATTAAAGTGAGAAAGAGCTAGCATATTAATGTTTATATTTTGGTGATTTTATTTGGCAAATAACAATTATAAAAGCTTTTCAAGCATGACTTTAGGAATGGTATAAATTTGGGAGTTTTTTTCGTTTAAACTTTAGTTGATTTCACAATATTCAATAAACGTGCTGAAAAATGGAGCGAATTTTCGGGATATATCTAATACTAGCCACATCAGTCGTTGCTCAGGGATATAGGAGTAAGTTAGTGTGTCAAATTGAAGGATATTTTCTTAACAAAATCACTACCTCTATAGAATTTGGCCTAAATTGTGAGAATATAGCTTGTCAATCGGGACAAAAGTGCATAATATCCAGACTTCCCTGCGACAATCTAGATCAACGTGAGGGTGAACAATGTGGAACTTATCCGGAATGTCAAACAGGTTCGTGACAGATTATATTTCCACCTGATTTCACCGTTCATTCACACCGAAATCTGGCTCTTTTAACTGATCCGTTTCAGATCAGCTGGCCAGCGATTTCTCCATCGACACCACACCGACCATCGCCAACACCCGTAGTAACATCATTATACCAAGCACCAGCACGAATCGCAATCGGACCCATAGGGACACTGACTTTGAGCTGCTGACCGACTTCAGCAATCCAGATAAATTCGGGACGCATGCAGGGCAACGGCAGGCCAATGTATTGGTTATAGTTCAGGATGGATCTCAACAACCGGCACAACAGCCGAATTCTTGGCCAAGTCGGGGTCAAAGTTCACCCTGTGCCATCAGTCCCCTTTATCCGTATTCCTGCAATTATCCGGGTTATACTCAAAATTCTGCACCGGGATTACCTTCCTATCCGCAGGCACGATCGGCCAATGTGCCACAATTAGTTCCTCCCACTCCACCTTGCTACTACAATTGCATTCCCAGGGTGCGTTCAAGTCCATACGGTCAATATGGATATCCTCTAGCTAGATCAGCCACTCCCTCATCGACCAATAACTATTTAATTTACCTCACATTAGCTGGCTAAAATATAAATTAAAAAATATTAATTCTGTACTAAATTTAGTATCTCCTAAGTTTACTCTTACTTCACTTTATAAGATTTTAGTCTCCTACAAATATATGCATTTAAATTTATAGAAAACAATTGACAATTAATTTCAAAGTAAATGTTTTTTACTGATCCGAATATGTTCGACATTTTTAATTTTTTGGGAAATTGTTTGTCTTTTTGATCACCAGCTCTGTACCGCTTTCGGCGAACGCCACAACTGCCTTATCAGCCTTTGGGAATGCCAGGTCAAAGGCCACCTGGGTACCCACCAACACCGTTTCCACGTCCGATTCCAATGCAACAGCCGCGTCAAGCTGCCCCACAATATGTGATTCAGCCCCAGCCAAATCCACAATACGCAATCCAATATCAAGCCAACCCACAATATGCCATGCAAGGACAACCCAAGCAAACCAATCCTCAACTCTACTTCTCAGTAGGGATGTCATATCCATCTTATATGAACTATAATGATCGTTCTACTGGGAATCCCCCTCCCACATCATTATACAGTCCCTATCTGCCCAGCTATAATTTTTATTACTACAATATTGATTTACCCTTTTCGGGAGGATCCTCTTGAGAATTTATCTGTTATTACAATGCAATGAACACTTTTCCGAAATAATATATTAATATTAAATTAACCAAAATAAATGTTATCTGATTTTTGTTTCGTTAATTTCCCAGTTTTTCTGAGACAAATGAATCCAGATTTCGAAAAGGATTCTGAGACAACACTTCCACAATATCACAATCGTTCGGTGCGACAGATTCCCATGCCTCCAATGCCCGGACCGATGCCAATGCCAGGACCAATGCCCATTCCGGCTTCTGTTCCCATGAATGCACAATATCCTGGACTCCCTTCTTATCCACCGTATATGGGGCAACAAATGCCGATGGGAAGACCTGTCCAAGGTCCCATGCCCATGATGCCAATGATGACCCAGACTGGTCCGGGAATGCCCATGGGAGGAGGTGGTATGGGTGGGACTAGCGTTATTGTGGAACCTTTAGTAATCCTCCCGATGGGTTTTGGAGCGGGATCCGGGAATGGAGTTAATCCCAATCAATATTACGGGGCAAATGGGGCTTATCCTACTTATAACAACTATAACCCATACAATACGTACACCACTGCGCGACCCAACTACGATTATAACAACAACAATAATTACAATAATAATACTGGCAACAATAACAATTACAACGATTACAACTCAAACGGTTAAAGCATTTTTATATTCCGAAATTGAAATAAAATGGCCACTAAAACTATCGTTTTAATTAGTTTAATATAATTAGCTTAATGAAACGTGAAGTGCTAGCAAAGGGGTATTTTTTCATTTGTTTTTGCGATGTATTTTTTATTTGGAATAGCTAATGCAACAAAAGATCAATTCTGTGATAATTGACAATTGTAAATCTTAGCCTCAAAACAAATTACTTTGTATTTATACCTCGCAAAGAAAGGTGACAAACAAAGAACTTAAAGCAACCTTGACCTGAAATCATCTACTGATTTCTCCACAAAGAATTCGGAAGCACTTATGCACTAATAAAATAAATATATAATTATACAACATCTACAATAATATTATCACCGGATAATTCTTGCTAAGAGTTTAAATCAAAATCAACAAACGGGCAATAGTGATTTTGAGAGAGATTCGAGCCCCTGAAGTGATCGCCACTCCAGATGTGGGTCAAACTGCAAATCGATGGGGTTACATTTGAGCGAGGTGAGTGGAAGCAAAGAGCTAGGTAATAACAATCATTATTTCGAAAAGATTTGAGAGTTGATTTCACTTTCACTAAGCTGGAGAACTTAGGATGGTTCGGAGTTCTATACATTTTATGTAAAGTTTGAGGAAATTAGATAATTTGGCAAAATAAGTACAATCTGTCACAATAGGTACTTACAAAATAAGCGCAATCTTTCGTCAATCGAAGCCTCCTACATTTCCAATGTCGTTTCTCTCCAACTTTTTTGTAAATGATGAGTAAGTTTTGAATTTTGAAAACCCCATTCAAAAACAATGCAAATCGTATCTGCTTGACTTTTTTAGTTCAATTTATGTATTTAAAGATCATAGCTCTACGACAACAAAATACACAGAGCTCTTACACACATACACACTAAACTCCAAACAAAAATGATAAAAAGATGAAGTGTAAAGAATTTAATTTCAGTGATTTACACTGGAAAAACCGTTTATCTACATTTTTTTCATTGTTTGTGGAGATTCTAATTTTTTTAAATTATAAGGAAAAGGCATTGGTGTTATTTATAACATGCTTCAGGCTGAGTCAATTGTTGGTTGTAATTTGGATACTCAATGTAAAGCAAACATTTATAAAGAAACATTCATATATTATGGTTTTATTTTTATTTTTTTCGTTTTCTCGTTCAGCAAATTGATAAAGGAAATAATCAGCTGTCCTAAACGTTGTATTTACACTGACGAAAAAATATTATTTATTGACGGGAAAACCATACGACTATTAAATTTAGCGGATGTTGTTTTAGGTTAATTGAGCATTGAGTGATAAGAAGAAAACTGATCTCAGTGCATGTTGTTTTTGAGTATTTAACAACAAAAAGCCGATTTTAGCGCATGTTCATTATCACCAATTTTAGCGGATGTTTTTAAGCAATAAACAAAAATGTGAAAAAATACTTGCAAGAACCGTTCGAGTAATATTTTTCAAACGAGAAATCGTGGAAATGCCCATTTACAAATTCCATCACAACAGCTTCAAAATCCAAATCCGGCTAGCAACAAAGCTTCCAATACAATGCATACACGTAGAAATTATCAATCATTATTATCAATGTTATAAGATCATCCAAAATTTCCCATTTGCGGCCTCAATTGTACACCTTGATAACATTATCGCTGCCATGCTGCATATTTTGACGATGAATTTCATATAAAAAGACTTGCTTTGAGCAAGCATAAATTAGTTTTTATTCTTCGCCGCCACAGCTAAGATGAAAGGAAATACTTTAATAGTTTTGTGCTCAATCCTTGTGTTGATAAATGTAGTAAGTTGAATTTTTTTATACAGCAAAAAGTTGTTTGTTGAATGTTAAGGTTATTTTTCTTTTTCTAATATTCTAATATTTATATGAAAACAAAGTGGACAAATTGCTAAAGTTTTAACAAAATAGTTAATTAAAATTGAACTGTGCCAATAATTTTGTTCAGGGAAATTTGGTCCATTGTTTTAAATAAATTATTTACAAAAGATACATTTATGAAGTCACTTGTATATAACAGAATAATTAATGATAATATCTAAAAATATTTTGTTTTGTTTAAATATCAGCATATTAGAAAATGAACAAGAAAGGAAAGCTAACTTCGGGCGGAGCCAAAGTTGATATACCCTTGCAGAATACTCTGTAAATTATATTCTCCAAAATTATTCATATCTGTCATGATCTGTCTGTCCGTCTGTCTGTTTCTACGCAAACTAGTCTCTCAGTTTTAAAGCTATCGAGTTGAAACTTTGCACGCAGTATATATGTCGGAACGGCCGGGATCGGCCGACTATATCCTATAGCTGCCATATAACTGATTGATCGGAAATGCCATAACTTTGGTGTTTGTAAAGTTAGGAAGTTGGAATTTTCTATCGGTTTTATATTTGGTCAATCAATCCGACCTACAAATTTCATATAACTGATTAATCTGAAATGCCATAACTTTGGTGTTTGTTAAGTTAGGAAGTTGGGATTTTCTATGGGTTTTATTTTTGGCCAATCAATCCGACCTACCAAAGTTCATAAGGATCGGCCGACTATATCTTGTAGCTGCCATATAACTGAACGATTGGAAATGCTATAACTTTGGTGTTTTTAAAGTTAGGAAGTTGGGATTTTTTATGAGTATTAAGAATGCATCATATGAATAATTTTGGAGAATATAATTTACAGAGTATTCTGCAAGGGTATATCAACTTCGGCTCCGCCCAAAGTTTGCTTTCCTTTCTTGTTTCTAGTTTTTTTGTGATGTACAGTTTATAAGCTGTTCAAGTGCAAAACTCTCTAGTTTTCATATTTTTTTTATATTTTATTTTACTAATTTTTCATTTTTTTTTTGTATAGACATATGCGATCGCCGACAATGTGAATGTTTACTTTCCGGCAATGCGCGATTACCCATCACAGGGAACATTGAAGTGTAGACCTGGGTATCATATTGTGGTTAGAAAGGGTATTTTGTTTTATGATAATGGCAAGAAGATCGAAAAAGCATCGTATCCGCCAAAGATGGCGTGTGATTTGGAACAAACATGCAACTTTAATCTTGTACGAGAACAATATAATTATTTGAATCCAGTCCCGGCAGGAAACTTACAACTTACTATTCAATACGATTGTAAACAAGATGACTTTCAAGGAGATCCAAGAAGGATAACAAACTATGGAAGAACCGGAGAGTGTCCGCACGACTCTTTTGTTCAGAAACACGTTGCTTATTTTAACGATAATAATCTCGTCTCTAACTCGCAAACGGCAAAAACGGAAAGAGAATTGATTGCCATGAGCGTCTGTGCTCAAGTCAGACGTTTTAGGGAACGCAATCCAAGAGCACCAATCGATCCATATCTTGGCACAGTGTTTTTGATACATGAAAAAAATCCACTCAACAGGAATTTCGAGCTGAGTCCACGTGAAAACAACAAATGTCAACTAACGGGAAATGCTCTTGCCCGTTCATATAGATATGATTGCGCGAGAGACGCCTATAAATGGACATGTACTTTGAATGGCAAGGGAAAGGATGTGGCAAAACATGACAAAGATAATAGCCATTTCGGCTAGTAACCAAGGCTCCAACCAAAACCGTAACCGTAACTGAAACCGGAATTTCCAGATGCCTTGATTGGAAAGTGAACACACAACACAGTGCACTACAGTTTCAAGGAATTTTTTTTTTTAAAACACATTCGCAATTCAATAGTACACATATACAAAGAAAATAAAAATTAAATTGACTTTTTTTCCGCTTAATATATCAATAAATGTTTTGCAATCACTTTTTTGCATATTTTACACCTAAATCTTTATTTTCTTTCCTTGCTTATTTGACATGTTTTAAGATGCTAAGACATTTCTGCTTTGTCGACCCGATCCCTACAATATCTGCATGTTTTTATGTAGGAAGGTACTTTGGTGGCCAGGGTTTGCAGCCCATACGGTCAATATGGATATCCTCTAGCTAGATCAGCCAATCCCTTATCGACCCTATTTAATTTACCTCACATTAGCTGGCTAAAATACGGTTTTAAAAATATTAATTCTGTACCGGTCCGGGAATTCCCATGGGAGGAGGTGGTATGGGTGGGACTAGCGTTATTGTGGAACCTTTAGTAATCCTCCCGATGGGTTTTGTAGCGAGATCCGGGAATGGAGTTAATCCCAATCAATATAAAGGGGCAAATGGGGCTTATACCATTTATAACAACTATAACCCATACAATACGTATACGTAACTAAGATTATAACAACAACAATAATTACAATAATACTGGCAACAATAACAACTACAACGATTACAACTCAAAAGGTTAAACCATTTTTATATTCCGAAATTAAAATAAACTGGCCAGTAAAACTATTGTTTTAAGTATTTTAATATAATTAGCTTAATGAAACGTGAAGTGCTGGCTAAGGGGTATTTTTCAATTGTTTTGCGATAATTTGTTTGTTCGGGACAGCTAATGCAACAAAATATCTATTCTGTGATTATTAACAATTGTTGATTATGATCTTAGCCTCAAAACAAATTACTTTGTATTTATAGCTCGCAAAGAAAGAAAAAAAAACAAAGAACAACCTTGACATGAAATTATGTACTAATTTCTCCACAAAGAATTCGGAAGCACTTGTACACAAATAACAGAATAATATATTTATACAGCAGCCACAGTAATATTTTTTATTCGGACGTTGATGCACTCGAAAAAACGAGATCGCGAGAAGTTAAAAAGGACAAGGATTAGAAATACGTACGAGACTAATACTAATACTAATTTTGTGCTAAGTAAGATAAAATTAATGCTTTTAGGCTTGGCAAAGAGTCGGTAGTAGAAATAATATGGTATAGTCTATTATAGTCGTTACACAGTACTCTAAACGGTTCATGCATATCAAAGTTAGATCTACAAATATTTAAAAAAAGAGGAACATAGTTCACGGAGAAGCTTATGCGACCCAGTAACTCGGGACTCTCCACATCGCCGTGAATAAGTTTATAGATAAAAATTGTGCCAATCATCGTTCTACGGTTTAGTAAGGATGGTAGATTAATTAGGAGGATGATGAAATAAGGCTTGCATTCCAGTTAAGGCCCCGTAGAGCAAATAATAAAACGTTCTTTTGCACAGACTCTATCCGGTCTATATGTACACCATACTGAGGACTCCAAGCTGCTGAACAGTACACCAGGATTGGACGGACTAGTGAAATGAACAGAGTCTTTGTAACATAAGGATCATCGAATTTCTTTGACCACCTTTTAATAAATCCAAGTACTCCCCTGGCTTTATTAACCATAGAAGTAATATGCTCACAAAACTTAAGTTTTGGGTCAAGAAGGACGCCAAGGTCATCAACATGCGTAATTCTAGACAACGCGCAACAACCCAGCGTATACGTTGCATATTGTGGGTTCACCCGAAAAAATGTCATTACTTTGCACTTAGCGCTATTTAAATCCAAAAGATTTTCACAACACCATGTTTGAAAAGCATTTAGGTCAGATTGTAAGACTGAATTGCTAGCAATTCGTTATATTGCAGGCATAACTTAACGTCATCTGCGTACATAAGGACACGCGACTTTGTCAAGACTAGAGGGAGATTGTTTATAAATAAAGTAAAACAAGAAAGGAAAGCTAACTTCGGACGAAGCCGAAGTTTATATACTCTTGCAGAATATTATGTACACAATGTTCTCCAAATTAGTCAGATTGATTGGCCAAATATAAAACCCATAGAAAATCCCAGCTTCCTAACTTTACAAACATCAAAGTTATGGCATTTCCGATCAATCAGTTATATGGCAGCTATAGGATATAGTCGGCCGATCCCGCCCGTTCCGACTTATATACTGCGTGCAAAGGAAAGAAGGGTGTGTGCAAAGTTTCAATTCGATAGCTTTAAAACTGAGAGACTAGTTTGCGTAGAAACAGACAGACGGACGGACAGACGGACATGGCTATATCAACTCAGGAGGTGATCCTGATCAAGAATATATATACTTTATAGGGTCGGAGATGTCTCCTTCACTGCGTTGCACACTTTTGACCAAAATTATAATACCCTCTGCAAGGGTGTAAAAATGAAAATTCGGAGCGCAAAACAAAAACACGACCGTTCACTGTGAAGACGCAATTACGAATTATCACCGTATTATTCTTGCTAAGAGTTTAAATCAAAAATCAACAAACAGGCGATAGTGATTCTGAGGGAGATTCGGGCACGTGACGGTTATCGCTTCCAGATGTGGGTCAAACTGCCAATCGATGGGGTTACATTTGAGCGAGGTGAGTGGAAGCAAAGAGCTAGGTAATAACAATCATTATTTCGAAGAGATTTGAGAGTTGATTTCACTTTCACTAAGCTGGAGAACTTAGGAGCGTTCGGAGTTCTATACATTTTATGTAAAGTTTGAGGAAAATAGATAATTTGGCAGAAGAAGTACAATTTGTCACAATAGGTACTTACAAAATAAGCGCAATCTTTCGTCAATCGAAGCCCCCTACATTCCAAATGTGGTTTCTCTCAAATTTTGTCTTACTAAAAACATATTTTTTTGGAAACCCCATTCAAAAACGAAGCAAATCGCATCGGCTTGATTTTATATACAGCTCGAAAATGCGGTGCTCAATTTATTTATCATAGCTCTACGACAACAAAAAACACAGAGCTCTTACACACACACACACTGAACTCCAAATAAACATAATCACAAGAATTTTATTTCAGTGATTTACACTGCAAAAACCGTTTTTATACCCTTGCAGAGGGTATTATAATTTTGGTCAAAAGTGTGCAACGCAGTGAAGGAGACATCTCCGACCCTATAAAGTATATATATTCTTGATCAGCATCACCTCCTGAGTTGATATAGCCATGTCCGTCTGTCCGTCTGTCCGTCTGTCTGTCCGTCTGTCCGTCTGTCTGTCCGTCTGTCCGTCTGTCTGTCCGTCTGTCTGTTTCTACGTAAACTAGTCTCTCAGTTTTAAAGCTATCGAATTGAAACTTTGCACACACCCTTCTTTCCTTTGCACGCAGTATATAAGTCGGAACGGCCGGGATCGGCCGACTATATCCTATAGCTGCCATATAACTGATTGATCGGAAATGCCATAACTTTGGTGTTTGTAAAGTTAGGAAGTTGGGATTTTATATGGGTGTTATATTTGGCCAATCAATTCGACCTACCAAATTTCATAAGGATCGGCCGACTATATCCTATAGCTGCCCTATAACTGATTGATCGGAAATGCCATAACTTTGGTGTTTGTAAAGTTAGGAAGCTGGGATTTTCTATGAGTTTTATTTTTGGCCAATCAATCCGACCTATTAAATTTCATAAGGATCGGCCGACTATATCCTATAGCTGCCATATAACTGAACGATTGGAAATGCCATAACTTTGGTGTTTTTAAAGTTAGGAAGTTGGGATTTTTTATGAGTATTAAGAATGCATCTTGTGAATAATTTTGGAGAATATAATGTACATAATATTCTGCAAGGGTATATCAACTTCGGCTCCGCCCGAAGTTAGCTTTCCTTTCTTGTTTTAAATATTTTTTTGGATCGCTTGTGGTGATTCTATTTTTTTGTAAAATAGAGGGAAACGATGTTTTTCGAAGTAACATTGAGTCTCATTTGATAAGATGTCAGATTAAAAAGTCGTAAGACTTTGCCAGTAAATTAATTAAACTGAGTCATCAGTGTATTCAAATACAACTTTTCAGGCAACTTGATAAGGCACACAATTAGTTGTCTTTTAAAACATCAAAGTCAAATTCCATCACTATAGGTCAAAAATCCAAATCCGGCTAGTAACATAGCTTCGAATACAGATGTAGTACTGCGTCCAGCTCAAATTCTTAGAAATTATTATCAAGAGATTCCAACTAATGAGATCACACAAATCAAATGTTAATTAGATCATCCAAAATTTCCAATTTTGTACAGCTTGATAACATTATCGCTGCCATGCTTCATATTTCGACGATGAATTTCATATAAAAAGCCTTGTTAAGAGCAAACATAAATTAGTTATTATTCTTCGTCGCTACAGCTAAGATGAAGGGAATTACTTTAATAGTTTTGTGCTCAATCCTTGTGTTGTCATCATTGATAAATGTAGTAAGTTGAAATTACGTCCCTATTTTTTTATACCGCAAAAAGTTTTTTGTTGAACTTTAAGGTTATTTTTCTTTTTCTAATATGCTGATATTCAAATGAAACTAATTATTTTTAGATAGAATTATACGTTTTCTCTTAAATGCAAGTGACTGCCTTAATTTATCTTTTATAAATAATTTATTAAAAATGAAAAACTAAAAAGCTATAAAAATCAATATACCATATATAATATGCCTCTATATAATGGGATAAAAACCGAAGTGTGCAATAATTTTTGACAGGGAAACTCGGTGCACTCCACAATATTTCTATCAAAAATATTTTGTTTCTTTTAAATATCAGCATATAAGAACAAGAAAAATAAAGTTAAAGTTCAACATGTTTGCTGTGCGAATAATTAAGTTTATCATTGTAAAATTTATCTAGTATTTTTGTGATGTACAGTTTATAAGCTGTTCAAGTGCAAAGCTCTCTAGTTTTCATATGTTTTTATATTTTATTGTAAAAATTTTTGTATCTTTTTTCCTGTATAGACATTCGGATATAGCATGAAAGTGAGTCTTAACTTTCCGGAAAGGGCAGGATTCCCATCAAAAACAACATTACGGTGTGATAGCGGGAATTATATCGTGGTTAGAAAGGGTATTTTATTTTATAATAACGGCAAGAAGAACGAAAAAGCGTGGTATCCGCCAAAGATGGCGTGTGATTTTGAAGAAACATGCACGTTTGAGCTTGTAGAAGAACAATATAAATATTTGGAATTAAAGGAGGGAGAAAACTTAGAACTTCAAATTCAATACGATTGTAAACCCAAAAACTTTAAAGGAAATCCAAGAAGGATATCACAGTATGGACAAATCGGAAAGTGTCCGCACGACTCTTTTGTTCAGAAACACGTTGGTTATATTTGGAATGATGATATTGTCTCTAATTCGGAAACGGCAAAAAAGGAAAGGGAAGTGATTGCCATGAGCGTCTGTGCTCAAGTCAGACGTTTTAGGGAAGCTAATCCAAATACCCCAATCGATCCAAATGAATCCACAGTGTTTTTGATACATGATAAACACCAACTCACCAAAAATTTCGAGCCAAGTGGAAATAATGACTGTAAACTAACGGGAAATGCTCTTGCCCGTTCATTTAAGTATCAGTGTTCAAGAGGCGCCAATAAATGGACATGTGATTTCAAAGGCAAGGGAATGGATGTGGCTAGACATATCAAAAATAATGGCCATTTATTAAGCCAAAACCGTAACCGTAACCAAAACCGGAATTTCTCCTAGATGCTTTGATTGGAAAGTGAACACATTACGAAACACAACACAGTGAACTACAGTTTCAAGAAATTGTCTTATTAAAATATATTCGCAATTCAATATTACACATATACAAAGAAAATAAAAATTCTTAAATTGACATTTTTTCCGCTTAATATACCAATAAATGTTTAACATTCACTTATTTTGCATATTTTACACCTAAATCTTTCTTTTCTTTCCTCGTTTATTTGACATGTTTTAAGATGCTAAGACATTTTGTAGCGCTTGCTCGGAAAAAAGATACTTTTCTAGCGCCATCTGTTGGATGTTGGAGAGAAGGTATTGCGTTGCCACTAGAGTTGATAAGACTAGTAGATATCGGTAGGATAGCCGCGAGAGAGCAACAGTGGCAAGTGTCAACTGTCTCCGCTTTCACCCTGAATTCGACCTGGGGTTACCGCCACTTTTCCGGCGGCGTGTTCGTTCTTTTCCGTTTGGCAGCAGCAGAGTGAAGTCGAGAATTCGCAGTGACTAAATTAAAATTCGAAAGTACACGTGAGTGATCTCACTTTAGTGCCGAAGGGAAGGAATAAAACAATTTGGCTTTGAGCCGAATAAAAAGGGTGAGAAGAAAAACAAGTGAGTTTATAGGCAGATGTATGATTATTTTTGGGGGTTTTATAGGCCACCGTTGGATGATGTTCGAAGGCCGCAAAGTAAAATAAAGGCGAGTTCGATCGAGACGAACGGGCGCCCGCGCAGTCCACATAACGAGCGAGCAACCTCCACGCCAGATATTAAACTCGGAACAACAGCGCACAAGGAAGGGCGCTACTAAGTGTTTATTTATATTTCCATCTTTAATCATCCTCGTTATCCGGTGTGTCAGCACCAAATTTCATGAGCCAGAAAAGTGAGATAGTTAATCGAGGCGAACCAAACTCAGGTTCGATCGAACCGAAATTATCAGTTTCTCTTTGCTCGGGGTGCGCATGCGACGTCGCGGCTACGATCTGCGCTTTTAAAAGTAATTCTCGGGGAGTTAGAAAGACCATATTTAGGCCAAGAAAATCACCGCCGTTTCGGTCAAATCCCGGTCTGAAGGTTTATCGGAGTACTCGTCACGGAGAAGCGGGTAGTTTAGGTTTAAAATTCGGTTTAAGTTATGTAATAAGTGTTCGTTCGTCAAAAGGAGAGAAAAATTTTTGATTTTATTTTGTTCGGTGAACGTGTGGTTTGGGGATTAATTCCTGTTCATATCCCAAGGTAGTGCTAAAGCCATCAGAAGGTGTTCACGGGCTGTACATTCAGCGTTTTTAATTTCTGATTTAAAAAAAAAAACAATATATGTCTCTGTGAGTGTATTTCCTTTATTCAACCTTATTTAGCCATCGTCAACGAGGAAAGCGCTTTCGTCGGTGGAGTGTGTGGTGAGTTTTTAAAAAGAAAATCTGTATACAGAATCTCATAAGAAAAGTCAAAAGAAAAAACTTAAAATCTATAATGCTAAGAAAAAAATTGCTACACTCAAAACAAAAAGTAAAGTAAATAAGATTGAATTCAGATTGAACTAAAAGTTGGTTATGAATATCGTGATGCATCCTTCCGTTCCAATGGTGAAAATAAAGTTAAAGTCAAAATTGATTTAGAAACAAATTAAATAAAATATGAAGATTTTTTTCTCGAATGATATAATCCCCATGCTTCAGTTAACCATGTTGGCATCAACCAACAAGTTTTTTTTAAATTGCCTTACACACCCATTATTTGTCCTATATCAACATATATATATATATATATATTTATTGTTTATATTTATTTATTTATTTTATGCATGTCTTTTTACGGTTTAATTTAAGAAATGGTTTATATATCTAGCTGTTAATAAAATTTTATAATGTTTTGCTAAGTTGAAAAGTGGCCGCAGCTAGCGTTGTCTTGTAATGTAGAGTAGCACTTGTTGAAGGGGTCGCTCAGGCTGTTAAGCGCTGAGGATATGAGCGACCATTGGTAGGGTGGGCAAGACCAGGACCTCCACAACATCCAGGGAGGCGAAAAGGAGAAGTCAGCCGAAATGGAAAAGTAGGGAATATAAAGTGATGATTTAATGTGTGTGTTTCTCTAACCCGGTTTCCGTTTGGTGATGCACACGAGTATCTAGTTATTATTAGGGAAGGCATTCCGAGGTATCAGCAAGACCATCACACCCATAGCCGAAGAGCCAGAGCCGGATATATTTTTTCGCGTGCGCTGGTATCCCGAGACAACATCTAGCCTGATTTGTATTAATAAGTGTAGCGGTTCGTTACAATTTCTGCTTTGTCGACCTGATCCCTACAATATCTGCATGTTTTTATGTGGCCAGGGTTTGCAGCCCATTCCCATGGGAGGTGGTATGGGTGGGACTAGCGTTATTGTGAAACCTTTAGTAATCCTCCCGATGGGTTTTGTAGCTGGATCCAGGAATGGATTTAATCCCAATCAATATTAAGGAGCAAATGGGGCTGATACCACTTATAACAACTATTACCCATACAATACGTACACCACTGCGCGACCCAACTACGATTATAACAACTACAATAATTACAATAATAATACGGGCAACAAAAACAACTACAACGATTACAAGTCAAATGGGAAAAGCATTTTTATATTCCGAAATTGAAATAAAATGGCCACTAAAACTATCGTTTTAATTAGTTTAATAAAATTAGCTTAATGAAACGTGAAGTGATAGCAAAGGGGTATTTTTTCATTTGTTTTTGTGATGTATTTTTTGTTCGGAATAGCTAATGCAACAAAAGATCAATTCTGTGATAATTGACAATTGTAGATTATGATCTTAGCCTCAAAACAAATTACTTTGTATTTACACCTCGCAAAGAAAGGTGACAAACAAAGAACTTAAAGCAACCTTGACCTGAAATCATCTACTGAGTTCTCTACAAAGAATTCGGAAGCACTTATGCACTAATAAAATAAATATATAATTATACAACAGCTACAATAATATTATCACCGGATAATTCTTGCTAAGAGTTTAAATCAAAAATCAACAAACGGGCGATAGTGATTCTGAGGGAGATTCGGGCACGTGACGGTTATCGTTTCCAGATGTGGGTCAAACTGCAAATCGATGGTGTTACATTTGAGCGAGGTGAGTGGAAGCAATGAGATAGGTAATTACAATCATTATTTCGAAGAGATTTGAGAGTTGATTTCACTTTCACTAAGCTGGAGAACTTAGGATGGTTCGGAGTTCTATACATTTTATGTAAAGTTTGAGGAAATTAGATAATTTGGCAAAATAAGTACAATCTGTCACAATAGGTACTTACGAAATAAGCACAATCTTTCGTCAATCGAAGCCCCCTACATTCCAAATGTGGTTTCTCTCCAATTTTGTCTTACTAAAAACAAATATTTTTGGAAACCCCATTCAAAAACAAAGAAAATCGCATCTGCTTGATTTTATATTATATACAGCTCGAAAATGCGGTGTTCAATTTATTTAACATAGCTCTACGAATTTTTTGTAAAATAGAGGGAAAAGACATTTTTCGAAGTAACATTGAGTCTTATTTGATAAGATGTCAGATTAAAAAATCGTAAGACTTTGCCAGTAAATAAATTAAACTGAGTCATCAGTGTATTAAAATACAACTTTTCAGGCAACTTGATAAGGCACACAATTAGTTGTCTTTTAAAACATCAAAGTCAAATTCCATCACCACAGGTCAAAAATCCAAGTCCGGCTAGTAACATAGCTTCGAATACAGATGTAGTACTGCGTCCAGCTCAAATTCTTAGAAATTATTATCATGAGATTCCAACTAATGAGATCACACAAATCAAATGTTAATTAGATCATCCAAAATTTCCAATTTTGTACAGCTTGATAACATTATCGCTGCCATGCTTCATATTTCGACGATGAATTTCATATAAAAAGCCTTGTTGAGAGCAAACATAAATTAGTTATTATTCTTCGTCGCTACAGCTAAGATGAAGGGAATTACTTTAATAGTTTTGTGCACAATCCTTGTGTTGTCATCATTGATAAATGTAGTAAGTTGAAATTACGTCCCTATTTTTTTATACAGTAAAAAGTTGTTTGTTGAATATGAAGGTTATTTTTCTTTTTCTAATATGCTGATATTTAAATGAAACTAATTATTTTTAGATAGAATTATACATTTTCTCTTAAATTCAAGTGACTGCATTAATTTATCTTTTATAAATAATGTATTAAAGATAAAAAACTAAAATGCTATAAAAATCAGTGTACCATATTTAATATAGAGGCAAATGGGATAAATAAAAAAAAGTGGCCAAATCGATAAAGTTTTAACAAAATAGTTAATTAAAACAAGGAAATTCGGTACACTGTTTGGTTTTATATTTTTAATAAATTATTTATAAAAGATAAATTAATAAAGTCACATGACCTTAAAAAAAATTAATAATTCTGTCAAAAAATATTTTCTTTCATTTAAATATCAGCATTTAAGACCAAGAAAAATAAAGTTAAAGTTCAACATACTTGCTGTGCGAATAATTAAGTTTATCATTGTAAATTTTATTTAGTAACTTTGTGATGTACAGTTTATAAGCTGTTCAAGTGCAAAGCTCCCTTTTTCATATTTTTTTCTCATATTTTATTGTTATAATTTTTCATATTTTTTTTACTTATAGACATATGCGATCAACTTAGTAAATCTTAACTTCCCGTCAAAAAAAAATTACCCATCAGAGACAACATTACAGTGTCGAGATGGGTATCATATCGTGGTTAGAAAGGGTATTTTATATTATAATAACGGCATGACGAACGAAAAAGCGTGGTATGCGCCAAAGATGGCGTGTGATTTTGAAAAAACATGCAGATTTAAACTTGTGGAAGAACAATATAATTATTTGAATTTAAACCCGAGAGGAAACTTACAACTTACTATTCAATACGATTGTAAACAAAATAACTATCAAGGAACTCCAAGAAGGATAAAACAGTATGGACAAATCGGAGACTGTCCGCATGACTCTTTTGTTCAGAAACACGTTGCTTATTTTAACGATAATAATATCGCCTCTGATTCGCAAACGGCACAAATGGAAAGGGAAGTTATTGCCATGAGCGTCTGTGGTCAAGTCAGACGTTTTAGGGTTCGCAATCCAAATGCCCCACTCGATCCAAGTTATTACACAGTGTATTTGATACATGAAAAAAATCAACTCAACAATAATTTCGTGCCAAGTGAAGAGAAATGTCAACTAACGGGAAATGCTCTTGCCCGTTCATTTAAGTATCAGTGTAGAAGAGAAGCCAATAAATGGACATGTAATTTCGAAAGCAAGGGAGAGGATCTGGCTAGACATTACAAAAGTAATGGCCATATAGACTTGTAACCCAACTCAAACCAAAACCGTAACCGTAACCGAAATCGGAATTTCTCCTAGATGCTTTGATTGGAAAGTGAACACATTACGAAACACAACACAGTGTACTACAGTTTCAAGAAATTGTTTTATTAAAAACATATTCGCAATTTAATATTACACATATACAAAGAAAATAAAAATTCTTAAATTGACTTTTTTTCCGCTTAATATATCAATAAATGTTATTTCACTTTTTTGCATATTTTACACCTAAATCTTTATTTTCTTTCCTCGCTTATTTGACATTTTTTAATATGCTAAAACATTTCTGCTTTGTCGACCCGATCACTACAATATCTGCATGTTTTTATGTAGGAAGGTACTTTGGTGGCCAGGGTTTGCATACGGTCAATATGGATATCCTCTAGCTAGATCAGCCAATCCCTCATCGGCCAATAACTATTTAATTTACCTCACATTAGCTGGCTAAAATACGGTTTTAAAAATATTAATTCTGTACCGGTCCGGGAATTCCCATGGGAGGTGGTATGGGTGGGACTAGCGTTATTGTGGAACCTTTAGTAATCCTCCCGATGGGTTTTGTAGCGAGTTCCGGGAACAGAGTTAATCCCAATCAATATTACGGAGCAAATGGGGCCGATACCACTTATAACCACTTATAATACCAAATTTCATAAGGATCGGCCGACTATATCCTATAGATGCCATATAACTGAACGATTGGAAATGCCATAACTTTGGTGTTTTTAAAGTTACGAAGTTGGGATTTTTTATGAGTATTAAGAATGCATCACATGAATAATTCTGGAAAATATAATTTACAGAGTATTCTGCAAGGGTATACCAACTTCGGCTCCGCCCAAAATTAGCTTTTCTTTCTTGTTTTATTTTAATTTCATTTGCTTTAATTTCATTTCCTTGGCTTGAGTGGTTTTACAAAAAAGCTGTGCAATATAATTTAGAGATAATTAAAATTCAGTTAATTAAATTAGAATAATACTTACTCTCGCCTGCTATACAAGAGTGAGCCTGTTTTTCACATTTATTTCCAAAACTTCGACGCTCACCCTTGTAAATTCCACCTGTCGGTTGGTAGACGGCGGGGCAAATATCGGCACATAACCTATTTGTGTGAAAATTTAAAATAATAGAAAATAATAGAAGATTTAAATGATAGTGGGGAGAATACTCTTACTTCAATACTTTCAGAGAACCCAGTAATTAAAAGATTATACTTTGTTAAAACTAAGCAAATTGAATAAAAAAAACTTAAAAACCCAATTATCCAAAAAAAAATGAAAATATATAAGCTTGCAAGTTATAAATTTAAGATCATCGCCCAGATGATTTCTCAATTTTATTTGGATTGACAATGACACATGGCAAGAAAGGTGCCAAGGAATAGCTTAGTTAATATAGATATAATAAATTCGATGGGCTCGTCGAACCTGGACGTGAGTTCGTGAGTTCCATAAAACTGGTTTCCATCTCTCTCTGTTGCCAACTCTCGTGATTTCTCTCCGGCCACGTTTTATGTTCAAGTTTGTCATTAAATAGAACAAATGTTTTTCTAGCTATTCGACATGTAACTAAGCAAAACATGTTGTTTAGGCTGCTGGGGCGAATCCAATCCGCGTATGGCCCACATCAAAGGCGGTGTAATATCGGCCGATGAATACGTCTCCCAGAATCCAAAACTCTGCCTCTATCAAGGTAAAACCGGACAGACAAATTGTCGAACCATCGTCATTGGTGACCGTCCTTACGTAATCCCTGGGCTGCAATCCAAACCGCTGACCTCCAATGATGAACACTATTTCGGGCAGCTTATCGATCTCAGAACAGTTCAGCAGATGTTCTTTATCTGAAGTGGGTAATCCGCCAAGCAGACTGTTAATTATCAGATATTCCCTGGGAGGAGCTGCCAACAGAGCTGTACCTGTATCGGCAATGGCCTGACGATTCTTGTTAATTATGGTACCGCCCAGTTCTATGCCATCTAATTGGAACTGCCAGTAACGCGCATAGGTTAGGGGTACGTAGGTTAGGGATCCCGAGAACTTGGTTTTATCCACACCACCAAATAGTAGCTCACCACCCATTCTTTCACTGCCATTCCGCTTCAGATAGAACGAGAACATACATTCATCCACCAAATGCTGTTCACACATGTTCTCGAACAATGGCTTTATCCTCTGCTCAGCTATCGCTCGAAAGCCCAATCCAACGATCCCGGCGAAATTGGTATCCACAAAGGTGGAACCCGGCTCATGTGTGGCAATGCCAAATGTTTGATTTCGCACCACCAATTGGGCAATGGAAACCGTATCCTGGGCCAGTCTCCCCGACAAACTTCCAGTACCGTAGGCTATGGCAAATCGTCGACCATCCGGAACATAAGTGCTTGAGGCACTGGAGTTATAGCGATGATGGTGCTGACAGGCCAAATTCTTAGCAGAACACTCGGCACTTGGCACCCACAGATTGGCCGATCCAGTATCAAAGAGCATATTGAAGGGCTGACCTGGGGTTCCAATACTAATGGGTCCTGCGTACTCCAAATTTAACCGATTGTCCAGCGTCTCTGTGGCTCCACTAGTCCTTGACGTAATATCCTGTCCACCTGCCACATTGTACTTGACCAGGAGAGACGATCTACTGGCACGATATTGACGACGACTGGCCACAAAAGAGGCCTGAAACTGTATGGGTATGCGAATCAGTTTGCCCTGTAACCTTGGCCAAAACAGGCACAAGGTCCACAAGGACAACAGCCAAAAGAGGGAGTGCATCGCTGACCAACCAAAATGGAACCGATCCGAACCGTTTGTTAATTCCCTTTCAACTAATTTGCAGAGGTTCTGGCCGCGATTGTTTTATAGCACTTGCAAATTGCAATTTAAGGGCCAAATTCGTCTGGCATTCAAATGCAATTGGCTAATGTGGTGGTTGAACACACTTCAGTGTTTGTGTAAATAGTAGATAAATAGGGCGAGTACATTTAATTGAATAAACAAACCAATTGGCATTTACCAAATTTAATTGTGCGAACAGTTATTCAGATATTATGTTGACAGCCTGTTCAAAAAGAATACTAGTTCTCATAAATATAAGCTCTGGTTCTGTCAAAATGTATATCTATGTAGAGCCGTTTATAACGATCTGTAACTTTAAACCTTCAAGGGTGCAGTGCCGAAACAATTGTAATCTTAAGTACAAGCCACTTGAGCCTGACCATAATTATAGTTCTTACACTGCACAAAAGGTCGCCTTGCAGAAAGCCGTTGATAAGGCTCCCGTTCAGGCAAACAGATGTGGTCTCTGCGTAGACCATAGATAAGTATATTATAAGAATTTCATGTTAGTTACGTAAGCGAAGACTTAGAAAAATAAAGTCAGTTTAATACAGAACTCAAACGTGAAGGTTGTTTTCCTCATTACAGGAATCCCTTACACAGCCATTCATTACTTTTATTTATAATTTGCATGTATTTATGACTTGGCTTTTTATACCCTTGCAGAGGGTATTATAATGTTGGTCAAAAGTGTGCAGCGCAGTGAAGGAGACATCTCCGACCCTATAAGGTATATATATTCTTGATCAGGATCACCTCCTGAGTTGATATAGCCATGTCCGTCTGTCCGTCCGTCTGTCTGTTTCTACGCAAACTAGTCTCTCAGTTTTAAAGATATCGAATTGAAACTTTGCACACACCCTTCTTTCCTTTGCACGCAGTATATACGTCGGAACGGCCGGGATCGGCCGACTATATCCTATAGCTGCCATATAACTGATTGATCGGAAATAACATAACTTTGGTGTATGTTAAGTTAGAAACTTGGGTTTTTTTATGGGTTTTATATTTGGCCAATTAACATACCAAATTTCAGAAGGATCAGCCGACTATATTCTATAGCTGTCATATAACTGAACAATTGAAATTGCCCTAACTTTGGTGTTTTTAAAGTTAGGAAGTTGGGATTTTTACGAGTGTTAAGAATGCATCATATGAATAATTTTGGAGAATAAATTTTCCAAATTATTCTGCAAGGGTATTTCAACTTCGGCTCCGCCCGAAGTTAGCTTTCCTTTCTTGTTTTATTCCGAAATTGAAATAAACTGGCCAGCCAGTAAAACTATTGTTTTAAGTATTTTAATATAATTAGCTTAATGAAATGTGAAGTGCTGGCTAAGGGGTATTTTTCAATTGTTGCTGCGATGATTTTTTTGTTCGGAATAGCTAATGCAACAAAAGATCAATTCTGTGATTATTGAGTAAGCAAAATGTCAATGACAATTATTGATTGTGATCTTAGCCTCAAAACAAATTACTTTGTATTTACACCTCGCAAAGAAAGGTGAAAAACAAAGAACTTAAAGCAACCTAGACCTGAATTCATGAACGGATTTTTCCGCAAAGAATTCGGAAGCACTTATACACAAATAAAATAAATATATAATTATACAACAGCGACAATAATATTATCAGCGCATTATTCTCGGTAAGAGGTTAAATCAAAAGTCAACAAACAGTCTGCCGAATGGAAAGAGAAGGCAGACAGCTTGACGCTGCCAAGAGAAAGAGAGAGAAGTGTAAATCAAGAGAACGAATTGAGAATATAAAAACACCTGTTCGCCAAACAAATTATTCAGTTTTTGGTTAGATATCAACCTCGGCGGTCGAGATCCCACAATGATTAAGTTTATCGGACTGGTTTTGGCGATCGTGATTCTGAGAGAGATTCGGGCACGTGAAGCGATCGCCTCCATTCCAGATGTGGGTCAAATCATCAAAGATCTCGATGGGCTGCAAATCGATGGGGCTACATTTCAGAGAGGTAAGTGGATATGCAAGGTAATAACAATCATTATTCCAAAGAGACTCGAGAGCTGATTTCACTTTCCCTAAGCTGGATAACTTATAAACGTTGGGAGTTTTATACATTTAATGTAAAATGTAGTATCTAAAAAAAAGACCATCTGTTTTAATAAAGCAAAACTTCAAACTATTTTTAGATAGAGAAAACACTAAAACAATAACTTTGCCTGTTTATATGTGTTGAGTATAAGATTTGGTTAACATTATGGAATTTACTCTTAAGTTAAGTTAGATATATCTGCTATAAAACTCAATACAAAAGGTTTTTAAAAATATTTTTTTATGTTATAGCCCCTATTTAAAGTAACATTTTATATACATACATGTATATAAATTTTTTATTTTCATTTGATTAACACTTTTTTTCCTGCCCTTCAAACTATTTGAAGCTTTAAGGTTGTGGTTAGATTTTGTATACTCAGCATATAAACTTACAATTTAAATATTGTTTCTTATATTCTTTCTAACTATTATTTTATGAATCTATATTTTTCAAAACAATTCTAGTTGCTTTATAACAACTAATTAGAAATATTTTTTGTTGTCAAGTTAGCAATATTCAATGATAATCAAGTTCCGGAAGAAGTATGTTAGAATAAATGGTTTTATAATGACGGCAAGAACTGTGCCAATGAAACCCAGCCACACCTAATTACTGACTTCCACTTTCAGGAGCTCCCTGTCGAGTGGACATGCAAAAGGATCTTCCCCGTCCGGACCAAGTGCAGCCCCTTTACCTCCGCCCCGGCACGGACCTGTACTGGCTGCCCAATGCTGATGGACAGCTGGAGATTCCTCGCGGCGCCAGCATCGAGATGCACTGCAGCCATCCCTTTGCCCCCGCCAATGGAGAGTCCTTGGAGCCCGAACTCCGTTCGATTCGTGTGAAGTGTGTGCAGGACACAACGTTCGAGTGGACAGGGTCGAAAATCAAATTCCGCGACTTTGTTTGCAGTCGCTCCATTCCCTACACCGTGGAGCGATTGGACAGGCATTGCGTGGACGGGGACGTCACCTCGTTCTTGTATCGCGTGGGCTATGATACCGGAGATGGCAGATTTGTGGCCACCATGGAGCTGTGCCACGACCCAAGTCACCTGCGCACCCACTACGCCCGCCATCACCTCTCGCCGGCCAATGTGCACTTCCAGAGGAACGTGAAACGCCTGAAGTTCAGCGCCGCCGGCCACTTTACGGGCTTTGACATGGCCAGGATTTATTCGCACAAGAGCCAGGAGAAACTGATGGCCCCCGCCGGCCTTATAGACGTGAAGAGTGGCCTGTTCCTGGCCCGTGGACATCTGGCGGCCAAGGCGGATCTGATCTATGCCAGCCAGCAGAGGAGCAGCTTTAACTACGTGAATGTGGCACCCCAGTGGCAGAGCTTCAATGGGGGTCAGTGGGCCGTCCTGGAGGACTCCACCCGGCGCTATGTGGCCAGTTCTGGCATCTCGGCCAGTGTATATACGGGCACGTATGGGGAGATGAAGGTGGCTGGCAGCAAAAGCCTTTACCTAACCACCGATGCCAATGACAATGGGCTGGTGACCGTTCCCCAGCTCTTCTATCGCGTCCTCGTCGACGATGGGAACCCAACGCGCGGAATCGCTTTGCTGGGCGTCAACAATCCACATGCCACATTGGCCCAGATCCATGAGTCCTATATCATTTGCGATCCCGTCGAGGAGCTGGTGCAATGGCTGAGCTGGCTGCACAAAAGCAACGCAAAGGGTAACCTGAAGAAGGGCTATCTGTATGCCTGTTCCGTGGCGGATTTGGCCCGGGTTGTCGGACAGCTGCCACGCCCCCTTCTCCAGGTGGACGAGCTGCTCACTTAGATGCGGGCGATGGGACTACATTTACTTTTACCTGAGTGCAATATAGACTGAGTGGATTGTGTGTCGCAACAGCAGTGTTTAATTGGAAAAGGCTTTTACATTGATTAGAAAGTGTTTCGATTTTTAAATTTCCTCAAAAGTTTATTTACAATTATTTCCAAATATGTACTTATCACTTGATGCTTTTAAAATTTAAAGTTTATCGCCATTTGAGCTAAAATGCGGAAATTGTATTGCCAGCTGCTAAAAATTTTTATTTTATTTTCGTGGAGGTATTATTGCAGTCACATGTGCCAAAAATGTTTTGTAAGAAAAGCTTTCTTTATTATTGTTTACATAAAGATTTTAAAGGGAATTTAAGAAAAAAATGTAGAAACTTAAACCTGCTTAAAGAAATAAGTTTAATTGTTAGATATATTAATTTGTATTAATAAACATTTCTGATAAACCATAAATGAGACAAAACAAAAAAGAATGTTTGGATTTCACAGGAATACATTTTCTGAATAAGTATTTATCGCAAAACATTAAATTTTTGGTTTAAATCATTTTATATTAGTTTCATTAACTCATTGAACTTTTGAATATATATCTAAGAAAGACTCTAATTTATATCATCTGTTTTAAATAAATCCGTAAAGAAACCGCCTAAGGATTTCATAAGTCTAACAAGTTAATTTCCTTGAAGGAGTCGTCCTCGCCCGTTCCTTTGCGATCCTTCTGTGCCAGTTTCGTGTGTGTTCAGATTATTAACGCTCGTGTGAGCTTCACGCCATCAAAATCAAATGGGACATCGTGTGTGGTCATGTCGGGGGCGGGGCCACACCCACTTGGGGGGGCTCGAATCGGAAATGCTATACCCTCGTTATGCGTTTGCCTTGTTGGCGGTAGCGCAAAATCGGTGGAAGAAACGAGGATATCAAATACGGCTCGGCTGCATTACCTTCATGCCGCTCACAAAACACAATTTGTTCCACAACATTGATTTAATCCTTTTTCTTCTGGGCCACGCACACACACACAACGCACAATATACGACACAAAAAGGCTGTCGTGAAGAATTTTCTTAAATTTTTCGCTGGGTTTTCCATGGCATTTCCCGACGTGGAGCTGTGTCCTTGGCATTATCATGAATATTTTTCCCTTTCCATTTTGCCCATTCCATTTTTCCCTTTCGATACATTTCCATTTGCTGATTTGAAGCGCACTTTCCACTTTGCTCCCCTGCTTCTGTTCCCTTCCGCTTTTCCGTTTTTCCTGATTTTCCGTTTTCCGCTCGCTTAGGTCAGAGTCGGTATTTGGAAAGGACCAAGCTGAAATTATGTTTTTATGTAGGTTGTGCGGTAAGCAATATTTGCTCAAGTATCCCTTACAGACTGTTGGACAGTAATCATCAAATGGGGTACACAATGTTGGGTAATTTCTGGCTTGGGACTTAAGAAAAAAGGGCGAGCCAAATTAAAGAAATACCATATGTGTTCAAGCATATTAACCCAAATTGATTTAATTAGGCTTTAATTTGATTCCTATAAATAAAGAAAGATTATAAGATTTTAAAAACTTTACAAAGTAATTTTAATTTATCAAAATTTATACATATTTTGTAGTAATATATTTTAAAAACAAATAAATTTTACAATTAATTGAATCAACACTGAAAAACCACTCAAGCTGAAAAACAAATAAAACCCGATTTCTATGCAAATAAATTACACCTCAAAGGAAGCAATGAAAACTTAAAACTTTACTCAGACTCCATGGAAATTGAAAGCTTTTCCTGCTGGCTGCAAAACATTTGTAACAATTGTACATCGCTTAAGGATATGGAATGGAGTGCAGTACGATGTCCGAAGTCCAGGCGACTTTTCTTTAGTGGCAATAACATTTCCCTTAAAATTGGGACAAAAAAAGAATTCAACAAATTGCTTTGTTGTTGTTTGTCTTGTTTCTTTCGCTGACTTGATGAAAGTTTATCTTTTCCATGGAGATTGTGAGCTGGCGGCCAAAAGGAGCAACAAGGATACAACCGACCAACGGAAAAAAGTCGAATAATTGAACGCACTTCACGCAGATGTTGTCGGGATTCTTTTTTATGTCACTGCCCGTGGTGGCTGCCAGAAGGATATGTTGTGTCCTGTGGCCTCCAGCGGAAATTATAATTTATATTTGGGTTCTCACTCGGCCTCTGTGTATATATATTTTAATATTGCCACCTCTTTGTACGAGGCCAGCTTCTGCCGCCACTTCTTTTATTTTGATTAAAATGCATATTAAATATTTGGCAAGCAAACAACAAATAAAAACAACAGAAATGTATCAAATAAAATGATACAGAAAAAAAGCAGTAATGCACATAAAAAATATAAAATAAATAATTTCCTGCTACTGCCCGAATTTATTTCCCGCTGTGGGTCTTGCTTCCTTCCGTCCTGGCGATAAACTACATACATACATTTATATTGAGCTACGACCTGACCCGAACTTGCTGCAAATCCTTCGCTGCGCATGCAAGGGCATAAAAAAATAAACAAACATTGAAAATGTTCCCCTGTTTTTGGGTTTATTTACATGTGCGTGAAGGCAGATGGGATTGGGGACACAGGACCTACAGGACCTACAGGAAGCTGTAAACGTTTTGATTTATATTGGATATTGAGGTTCCTTTGACCGCCCTTATTTGGGCCTTTGTTTCTTTAATCGATATGTGACGAAGGGGCGGCAAAGTTTATGTTAGATTAATGCAAAAATAAATAAATGGCAATGATTTAAGTCGATGTATTGTATATATTATACGAAACTTTATTTCCCAGTAGTCCTTGCGTTTCAATTGGATTTTTATATCCTTAATTTGAGCAACAATTTTGCTCATTTTGACCAGCTTTCCTTTGGCCTTTGCATAAAAAGCGAAACAACAAGCAGAAGTGAATAAAATACGTGCACACAATTCAAATGGAATAAGAGGAAAATATGAAAATTGGAGAATGCAGGAATGCAGAGCGAAAAGCGAAAAGCGGGAAGACGAGATGAAGATGGAGAGGAAATTCCGTTTCATTTTGCTGGAAATTACAGTGGGAAATGTACCAAGCAAGACAAGACGACGTTGACATCCAATATCCTTATTGTTGGCCAGCGGAATTTATGGCTAACAAAGTCGTTAAGTAGGCTAAAGTGTGTGGCTTGCAGTGCAGGACTGCAACTGAAAGTGAGTGGAAAATGGCCAAGTCAGGGTCGCACCAAGTCATCGCAACTCGAAGCTAATGAGGTCATCAACGTCCCCTCCGGCCACAAAATCCTGTCCGCATCCGCATCTACATCACCGTCGTGGTTGCGAAATTGAATTTTGAGTACTGCCAAACTGCGGCCAGGTAGACTCCTGATTGAGGTGTTTGATTAATGGGACTGGGCCCTGTCCCGTCCACAAGCCAAATCCGAAACTTGTTCGTTAGTCGCCCACTCCAGACTGGTTAACCTGGATCTGATTTCCATTCCGATTACCGAAGGAGAAACGCATTTACGGTTGCAACCAATTGCAGCAGTCGCTTTAGTTTACTCTCATTCAATCCAATTTTCCATATTTTTCCTCTAAGCTATCTTGGCGAAAATGTATTAAGACTAAAAGATTGTCACAATGAAAACAGTAGAACTTTTTAACTTAATTTTACCTTGCTTTGGATAGGAAATTGCACAAACTTTTTATACCCTTGCAGAGGGTATTATAATTTTGGTCAAAAGTGTGCAACGCAGTGAAGGAGACATCTCCGACCCTATAAAGTATATATATTCTTGATCAGGATCACCTCCTGAGTTGATATAGCCATGTCCGTCTGTCCGTCTGTCCGTCTGTCCGTCTGTCCGTCTGTCTGTTTCTACGCAAACTAGTCTCTCAGTTTTAAAGCTATCGAGTTGAAACTTTGCACACAGCCTTCTTTCCTTTGCACGCAGTATATAAGTCGGAACGGCCGGGATCGGCCGACTATATCCTATAGCTGCCATATAACTGATTGATCGGAAATGCCATAACTTTCGTGTTTATAAAGTTAGGAAGTTGGGATTTTCTATGGGCTTTATATTTGGCCAATCAATCCAACCTACCAAATTTCATAAGGATCGGCCGACTATATCCTATAGCTGCCATATAACTGATTGATCGGAAATGCCATAACTTTGGTGTTTGTAAGGTTAGAAAGTTGGGATTTTCTATGGGTTTTATATTTGGCCAATCAATCCAACCTACCAAATTTCATAAGGATCGGCCGACTATATCCTATAGCTGCCATATAACTGATTGATCGGAAATGCCATAACTTTGGTGTTTGTAAGGTTAGAAAGTTGGGATTTTCTATGGGTTTTATATTTGGCCAATCAATCCGACCTACCAAATTTCATAAGGATCGGCCGACTATATCCTATAGCTGCCATATAACTGAACGATTCGAAATGCCATAACTTTGGTGTTTTTAAAGTTAGGAAGTTTGGATTTTTTATGAGTATTAAGAATGCATCATAGGAATAATTTTGGAAAATATAATTATAGAGTATTCTGCAAGGGTATATCAACTTCGGCTCCGCCCGAAGTTAGCTTTCCTTTCTTGTTTATTTTGATTCTGTGTATTTACAGTTGCAGCAAATTAGAGCAGTATCTTTAGTTTTCTATTTAAATCTAAAGAGAACTTCTTATCTTAACTAAATTCTCAAAAACTACGCTTTTAACTAGCCATGAATTGGGAAACTTTTAAGTTTTTCAATTCCATTCTGAGCAATAAAATCTGTATATGTTCTTTGCTTATCTTGGTAATAATAAAATAGAACCTTCCCATCATTAGACTCACGTTGGTCGACAAATTTTAGCTGCCTTTACCTAAAATTCTATTATTCTCTTGTTTATGGTTTGACTTTAAAGGCTGGGCCACTCGACCGAAAGACGCCAGGGGATCAGGATGCGGAGCAGGAACAGGAAGAGGATGGGCAAATAAATTGGTTTCTGGCATAAAGGCATAAAACCATTATATGCCAGCCCATACACACACACACACCCAGGAAGGGTGCCTTGGCCAGGCTGTGAGCCTGAATTTGAATATGTGCGAATATTTATGAATACCTCCATCTGAAAACATTTCATAACCCTAACCATAAAAAGAAACGATAATTTCGTTCTTTACTGGCTGTCGTCGCCAGGTGAGATCAAAGGGTTTGCCATTGTTCTTGGCAGCGTGAAGTTACATGAAAGTTTATGAATTTGCTTAAAGTGGGAGTCTAATTAAATAAGAGCAACGAAATAAAAGCGATACACTGTCAAGATTTAGGGAGTCAAATTAAAATTACAGAGCCCAAAGGTTTCACAAAGAACTATTTAACTTCTCCAGAACGAAAAAATTAATTAATGTATATTTTTATCAAGGAAAAACCAAATAATTTGAGTAAGCAGTATAGTCGGCACTTTTTAAGTGCATTAAAACTATATGTACTATTTTATTTAATTATAAAGTGTTACAGTATTAAAAGAAACAAACACAATTTGTTCCAAAGAATACTTTTTCAGATTAAATATGTTCATTAAAGACTTATTTTAAGTAAAAAAAAACTCTTTGTTTGTCTATTAACTTCATTTCACCAACTGAAAAGGCTTAAAGAGTCATGTTGAAGGAAAATGATTGGGGCAATCAAGTGAAACGAAGAAACACTCGTAAAAACGGCGTAAAGCACGGACTGCTAAAATATGTAACAAGCCGCAGAACAACAACTGCCAGCCAAATGGGTTAACACTCCGTTTTCCTACCTTTTGTTTGAGGAGCATTCGGGTGCTGCGCTTTTTATCATCTTTTTGGCCCGTTCAAAAGTCCCGCCGTCTTGGCCACAATTGGCATGTCGGTTTGCGGCTGCAGCCTGCAGCCATGTGGGCCACAAAAATGCGGTAAAAAGATTACCAAAAGCGAGCGTGCTGCACAAGACGTCGAAACGAGCAGCGAAGAGGTGACTGGCAAACGACTTTGCCATGCAAACCAAATTGTTATCATTCAGTTTCATTGTGGTGCTTCAGCAAGTGCAGAACTTTAAAGCTTGAGAGCTCTAGGTAATTTGCATTTGAATCAGAGAAATGGCCAAGTCTGTGCAATTTGGGAAAGGGGTTGTGGGTTGTTGTGTAAGTTTTTGATTTAAAATAAACCTGGAAATACCTCGTCTACCTTAAAAATGTGGAACAATATTTACTCATTGTATTAAATATTTTCAAAAATCGATAAAATTGTAATTACTTTTATAAACATTACAATGAGCTATGCAAATAAAATTTGTTTACAACAATCTCTATTGTCTGTCAGCTTCTATTCCGAATTGATTTGAAAAGAATTAATTTTTTTTGCCGATTTTCGCATTTTTCACGATTTTTTCGAAAATGTGAATGCCAATCGACTGGAAATTGTATAACGAATTTAACGAGGTAAGACATACCACCATTTGACATTTATTTCCAGGGATTTGATAAAATAATCGAAGCCCGAGATGATTATCCCGGTGTTTTGAATAATAACAAGAAAGGAAAGCTAACTTCGGGCGGAGCCGAAGTTTATATACCCTTGCAGAATATTCTGTAAATTATATTCTCCAAAATTGTTCATATGATGCATTCTCATACTCATAAAAAATACCAATGCCCGTAATATAAAATTTTGTATCGATTTTTGCGGGGGGTGACACGCCCACTTTCTTATGATAGTTTCTTTAGGTCTATAGTAACATAATCCAAAAAACTGCAGTGAAAAATCTCTTTTAATTTACTCGTAATTTTAAATGTCAGATAATGTGGCCATTTACCCCATAGTGCATTGCCTGCTCCGATCAAAATAAAGATATTAAATAAAAATATGTACAAAACTTGTGGATTTTTACTCAACACACCCTGTTCTTTTCGCTACTTTTTCAATTTTAGCAATTTCGGCAAAGACAAGGGTATTAAAACTTCGACTTGCCGAGGTTAGCTTCCGTCCTCGTTTTTAATCATTTTTACACAGGCAATTATACAGACATTCGTACCAATTCCGATCAGCTGGATTTAGGAGACATTCATCTGCCAATGAGTTGCATGAATTCGGCTGCGAATTGCAATGAATGTGAATGAATGTGTGCGCCGCCGCTGTACTCAACTCATCGAACTCACACATAGAGAGAGCGAATTGAATGCCGAAAGAACCGGGTAAAAATAGTGAGTGCGATGAATGACGCATTGTTTCCTTTTACGTGAGCTGTATTTACTATTGCGAAATTAAATAAGATAAGATAATACAATGTTTATTTTCATTTGATGTATGTATATTTGGCTTAAAAACTAATTATTAATTTTTCCTTATTAAATATTATTTATATTAGAATGTAGAAACATAATTTTATTTATGCTTTCTGGATTTTTCGATACACTGCAGGGTTTTTCTGGTATCAGAAAAAGCTCTCCCTCTCGTAATAAGCGGCGCACAAATTGAATTCTGAGTATTCAGTCAATTCTTCTTTGCTGCATTCATTCATTTTTTCCGTTTTGCACACACATTCATTTAATGCCATTTCATATGAATACTCAAAATTGCGCTCAAATGAGAATACAGTGCGATGCGAACTCGATCAGCTGAATGCGTTTAGTACTGAGAGAGTGCAGCCGTGCAGCTCTCTAATGTGTAAGTACTGATAGAAAAAAGTCATTTAGTAACGCTTTAGAAACTGTTTCGATTGGTCGTGTCTTGCGCTGGAAAATTACTATTATGGACAGAACAACCATATTATCACTTGACTATGATTGCTTGGTCTTGATATTTGAAAGTATTAAAACTAACTGCGAGACTGACAAAAACTCAAAAAAAAAAGAAAACGTTGTTAAGTATCGGGATCTTATCAATTTCGTAATCAGCTGTGTTGAGTTCCAAATAGCTTTTCAAAATTGGAACAACAAACTTTTTCACGATCTTCGAATCGAATATTTTCATTTAAGAGACACCAGTTCTGTATCAGTCAATTTTTCGAAGACATATGACTTATTGCAAAACTTTTCAAAAAAGGACAAGGATCACTTTTGGAATTACTACACAACCGCGATTAAGGAAAACGTAAACATGGATTCACTCGTATTGACTTATAAACCGACACAATACCATCGCGAACATTTGGATAGGTTCCAGGCAATCATGCATTCCCTTAAAAATAAGACTTTGCACGATCTCGTTGTTGATTTTAAAGGTGAGTTGTTCTATAAAATGGTTATGATTTATGTTGATCTAAGCACTTGGAGTTTTCAGGCTCTGGTTATAGCTTCGAAAATGTTGGTACATTCGGTCACTTGAGAAGTCTCAACGTTAATGCGCGCATGTGTGCCTATGATTTGGTACAGTTGTGTCGATCAAATCCGAATTTATATAATCTCACTTTCTACAGTACCGAATTAAATGGAAGGTTTTCGGATATCGTGTCATACTGCAGTCAGCTAAAACGCCTGGAGTTATTGATGAAACCTGACGTCGATGCTACAGAGTATGCCACGTTGGCAAATTTACCCCAACTTGAAGAATTGTACCTTGGTGGGATTCATGAAGAGGGTACGCTGACTGAGTTGTTTAATGGCCTCAAACTAAAGGGCTTAAAAAAACTACATATAAGGAACAGTATGCTCAGTAAACAAGAAACTCAGGCTCTAGCACAGATACGGTCGATAATCTCCATTGAGAGCGCATTTAGTGATGACCCGATTATTGGGAATTTAGCTCATCTTCGAAATCTCAAATCCATTAAAGTTTTTGCTAGACGTGAGCAATACAACTTACTGATTCAATTTAAAAATTTGATAAAGAAAGTAGAAGTTAGCTTTAATACTAAATGCATGGGATTGGGTATAAAATTGAGTCCTATATCTGGGAATCTTTTTCTGACTCTTAGCACACTTTATAACGTTTGCGATAATGACGAAGCTCCTAGAGAAATCCTCAATTTTTTAAAACCTCATTCTTCTAACATATTTAAAAACGTTTGCGATAATGACGAAGTTTCTAGTGACATCCTCAATTTTATAACACCTCTTTCTCAACGAATAGAAGTCAATCAATTGCATATAGCGGGTTTTAGTGGCTTTCTGCAAGCTCTGCTTCAGAGTTTAGCGAACCAGAAACTAAGAAACGTACACATGTTAGATATAATAAGCATGGAAGAAGCTTATTCACTCGTTTCCATTCCGTCTTTAAATAATATATATTGTGTGCAAAATTTGGAGGAGATAATTGCAATGAAATGTAAACAACTAGATGGAATTAAGAACACAGAAACCCGAGTGTATCTATTTAGAAATCCAGACTGGACGGCCCGTATAAACCATGGCAATTTTTTAACAACTATTGTGGAGCCGGCCGCAGCGTTCGATTTTTTTTGTTTTTTCTGGCCTATAGACAACTATTAAAACTTTAAACAATCTTGTTATTAAGGGTTATGTATTAATCAGAAATAAAACAAAAGAGCAAGTAGGAAGAGAGACACGGAGCGGTTGTCGCTTCTATTAAAGTATATCGAGAACGCGAGAGAATCGATAAAGTAGAACTCAAGAAGAGTTAGTCGGTGTCAAGATTTCAAGCGTCACGCATGCACAGAAGTTTAAGTTTTGTTTGTTAAGTCATTAAAGTTAAAACCACAATATTTGTAATCGGATACCAAATAATAATAATCAATAAACATTATAATAATACATCACTTCGTCGTCTCAAGAGATGTTTGCATCACTGCGGAATTCCTGGGGCCACAGGTATTATATATGTGATTCCTTAACATTACTATTCAAAAGCTTTGCCTTAATAGAAAATCAAAACCTAGAGGACTTGGAAATGGATATAATTGATACCACAGCTCTTCATTGGTTGGCACAAATCAGCAGCATAAAAGTGCTTAAGTGTAGTTATACCCGTTACTCGTAGAGTAAAAGGGTATATTGTATTCGTGCAAAAGTATGTAACAGGTACATAGAAGGAAGCGTTTCCGACCCTATAAAGTAGATCTAGCCATGTCCGTCTGTCTGTCTGTCCGTATGAACGCTGAGATCTCGGAAACTATAAAAGCTAGAAGATTGGCATTTTGCATGTAGATTTTAGGAGTTCCTACGCAGCGCAAGTTTGTTTCAAAATGGTGCCACGCCCCCTCTGACGCCCACAAGCCACAAGCTGTGGCCACAGTTTTGATGCTATTATGAAAATTTTAATTGATATGTATTTGTTTCGTCAATACCTATCGATTGGCTGAATAAAAGTTTGCCACGCCCACTCTAACGCCCAAAAACCCATTAAACGCTTAAGCCTGGCTAGCGCCTACATTTCCGCCTTTCATGGCCCGTGGTACTAATGTCTTGGGGTAGATGACGCAATACAATAGCGCCATAAAAATCGGTATCTAATTCGAGCGGCGAAAAACATACAAGAAGGCATATTTATATTAAGTTGTTTAGCTGAGTAACGGTTATCTAATAGTCGAGGCACTCGACTATAGCGTTCTCTCTTGTTTTTTTTGTTCCCGTGCTTATCGAACTCTGGCTAATTTAAATCAACTTGAGTCGCTAACTATATCTTTACAACCAAACGGATCTCTAAAAAGACTTTTTAACCTTCTTGCTGACGAAGAACAATATCGAAATTTACAGGCAGATATTTCCATTGATGAAGCTACCGCAAACAATTTGAAAACCTTGCAAACGATATCTAGATACTGGTATAGGCCAAGTCATCAATGTGAAGATATTTTACAAAATCTTTACAAAAATTTGCGTCTTCATGGAATCTCCATGTGGGGTCTTCTCAAGGAACTAAAAGTTTTATCCAGTCTTCAAAGCTTGTTTTTGGATAACTCAAATTTAGATTTTTTAGATATTGTTGAGGTGACTAAAATAAGTTGGCTGAAACATTTAAGACTCGGCCTTACCGATAAAAAATGCATCTTAATACTGATCCAATTAAAAAATCTGGAAGTCTTGGAAATCACATCGACTCATCACGCAGCGGAAGATGAAAGCAACTTTATTCTTCCATTTCTCGAATCTTGCCAAAATCTTAGATCTATAACTCTTCATCGATACTATGACTTCTTAAGTAAGGATTATCTCAACGGAATCTTAACAATTATAAAGCTCCTTAAAGACCCTGAGATTAATCCGCCATTTGAATTAATTGGAATGTGGTGTGATTTCGAGAGTCTAAATCAGGTAATTTCATTTATAGAACTCAAACCAATGCATTGCAATGTCGTTAATTTAAAATTTTAGCTACACGGATATGATGACGCCTTCCTGCAGCTGAGACGCATTAAACAAGAAGAATTTGAGTCTGATGAAGATGACATCGTGTTAAATGACGACTTTTGGAAAAAGTTCGAAAAGGACATAATCAATTACAATGACAATAGTTCGGACTCCGATGAAGAAAACAATTAAATTAATCTGACAAATTTTAATTTAAACGATTTGATTAATTATTATGGACTAAAACCCATAGAAAATCCCAGCTTCCTAACTTTACAAACACCAAAGTTATGGCATTTCCGATCAATCAGTTATATGACAGCTATAGGATATAGTCGGCCGTTCCGACATATATACTGCGTGCAAAGGAAAGAAGGGTGTGTGCAAAGTTTCAATTCGATATCTTTAAAACTGAGAGACAAGTTTGCGTAGAAACAGACAGACGGACTGACGGACAGACGGACATGCTTATATCAACTCAGGAGGTGATCTTGATTAAGAATATATATACTTTATAGGGTCGGAGATGTCTCCTTCACTGCGCTGCACACTTTTGACCAAAATTATAATACCCTCTGCAAGGGTATAAAAATAATATGAATAAGAAATGTATTATATTTGGATATTAGCTTTAAATATGTACTAGAAAGTAATTGATTAAATGTCATCAAAATATTAAACGTGTTAGCATAATCCAGTTAATTCCGGAAAATTAATGAAATGTCTATAATTGATTTGTTTGTAGCTGGCAATCTGATTAACCCAAAAATGTGCGTCGATAAAAGGGCATTCATGTGATTATTATTCGGTGGGCACAATCAGGAATTTTAAAGGCTGCCCTGAATGATTTACGCTTTACGGTTCAATGAACTGTCCACAGTGGAATGGAGACTTGAGTTTCCGAAGTGACAATATAGGAAAAGCGTTTGCCCGAGACACTTCAAGTGTAAATTTGATGGCCTCGAGGCGTTCGTACAAGTGCAATCAATGATAAATCTCTACGCAACAATGCGAATAGAAAACTATATATAGGCCAAGCCACATATAGGCAAACAATGTATAAATCTATGTTGGATGTGTGAGCGGCGCTTTCGCCATCCAATTTTATCGCTTTCGTTACTGCAAATCAATTGAATTGAGGCGCTCACAAAGGAGAATCGAATGGATACGTTTGCCCAGGCAATCACTACGAACGGATATAGGAAGTGAAAGCTCCGGCTGTCGGGGGCAGCAAACACCCAACAATGTCGGTCATTAGAACGCTTTAAGGGGAACTGTATAGTCCTTAGAAAGTCTGCGAATATGCTTTTTACTCCCACTCCGACAGCTTATCGTTCGACTGACAAATTGCCGCCCAGACAACGACTTCTGATGCCGCCAAATCCCCTCTCGGGCAGACTTTAATTCCCAATGAAGTCCAAGTGAAATAAAAAAAATCCTGAAAACCCAGAAACATAAAAGCGAAAATGTATTTCAATCTATTTGGCACAGTCTATAGGTGGCGACTGCTGGCCAGAAAAGATTTATGGGCCGCTCTCGTTAAATGCTCTGTCAGGAGACAACAAACAAAAAGGTTTAACTGATGGCCGGGATATGGATATTTTTTGTTACTGAAAAGGGTTAAAGCAACAGTTCAATTATTCAGGCGAATTCCAAATGAATATTTAAGCTATTACACTTCAGATCGAGACAAAAATATTATTTTAAAATATTGAAATTAAAGAAAGATTCGAGAAAATTGGTCTGGCAAGTATTTACTGTTAATTTTATTATCTTTAAATTAGGTTTTAATCTAATAAATCTATAACTTGTAAGTGAAGAATTAAGTAATGCTCCAATAGTAATAAATTCAGGAGTAAGAAATTAGTAATAAATATTAATAAATATTTAAGAAAAATGTTTATTCGGGAAGAAGTGTATACCAATATAATATTTAAAGGAACTTCTTGAATCCTCTAATTTCCAAATATTTATAATGAGCAACGTGAACTCAAAGGATCAAAATGGACTTCTGAATAATCCACTTTATTTAGCAGTTGTAAAAGGAACAGCGTTGCCATTTGCCAAACACGAAATCTAACGAATAATGTGTATGTGACAAGAATATAAATTCATATTGCAGCAACTGTGAGTACAAATACAGCCAGGTCCACGCCCATTCCCGCTGGGGGCGGAAGTATAACGAGCTGGAGTCCTTCTCCCCGCCCTTCGCCCCGCCCTTCCCAAAAATGAGACTCTAATGTGACATTTATAAGTGAAGGGCGACGGATGGGCGACGTTGCATGTGCCACACTGACGAGCTACGAGAATTACAAAGTGCATTTTTCATCATTCTCCCAGAAGGGCGAACAACTTGCACAACTATTTTTGAGATACTCATATCATGTTCTTGCTTTGGCACTTGCACTAGAGTATGCGAAATTTGCGACATACTTTTAAAGTTCTTTGAAGGAGCAAAGTGTTCTGAGCCTCAGCATCATGTATTATCTTTTATTGCTCAAGATACCAAACTACAATTTTAGCAACTACTTATTATTTAAAGAGCAATTTATAATCTCAAACTCGAGAAAGACATTAACATTTAACTACTCTAGTTGCTTTATCCGCTTAATTTAATACCCACTTCTCGACTAAAGGTTATTTTAATTTTACAAAAGCTTTTATACCATACAACAATGAGAACAATTTGTGGAGCTTATATGAGAAGGGGAAATTTCAAAAAATTTGTAATTGCTAACTAACAATTTTCTTAATGGAATTGTGCAAAATTTGTTTAAGAAAAGTTTATATTGGGGATGTTTTAGCAATTAATATGTTATTATTATCTATTTATCTACTACCATTACCATCGAGCTGTTATCCTTTTCTCCAGTTTTATGAAGTCTTATGGCATTGTTTACAAAGTTTGCATCGACATTACCCACCGCAATTCGAAGGAGCTTCATGTTTTTACAGTTTGCTATGATTGGCAGTAAGGAATTGGAAATATCTAGTGGTCGGAACATGGAGAGGCAGAGTTCCTCTAAATTAGCCAGACAGGCCAGCATCTCAACGCACTCAGTCTCCGAACAAAAGCATTTTAGGTTCCTTAAGCTCTGGATACGGACTAACTGGCAGGTCTCCTGCAAAGTAAGACTTCCTCCTTCGATGGACAGGTGAGTCAACTGTGATTTGACTGCCAAAGCCGAAAGGAGTGGCTCAAAGGAGCCGCTCTTGCGAATTCCGGAATACGAGAGCTCCCTGAGTTTTGGAAGCCTAGCCAATGGGAGGTATTCCGAAGATTTTGCGGACATTCCAAACTTGAGAACCTCCAAGTTTTTGCAGTGGGGAACTATGTCTCTTAAATTTTTCTGCACACAGGAATAGCCCAAATGAAGGCTGCGAATATTGCCATTCGATTTGCAGCATTTCACCAGGATTGGAGTTGGTAATCTTGGTATGAGGATCTTAATTTCTTCGAGGTGCTGAAGTTGAGTCAGACGATCCACGCTGCAGTCTGCAAAAAACAGAAGAGATTGCCAAATAAATTTTAATTTTAATGGTCTTATTTTGGAGACCTTATTAAACCACAGAGCAAATGTTTTTAATATTTAATTTCCCTATAACATTCCTCACGCATCTCTGATCTCCTTATAAAATGTATCTTACCATCTTTTGCATGAATTTCCAATCGTTTAAGTTCCGGCAAATGTCTTACGGCAGTAAGAATTTGATCGAAGGGTTTGACAACGGGTGTGACGAGCATCGACAGTTGCTTTACAACCAAGTTCTCTAATCCTATCATTCCGGTCAAAGTCTGGTAAAGAATCGCAAAACAGTTTACCGGTGCTTCACATCCATAGGTTCTAAAACATCTAGCCGTATCAAAGTGATCCAGATCAATGGTTAAAGATTCTACAGCTTCCCGGCAGATGCAAAATTGTATTAGCTCATGCCTCGCACTGTCTTTATCGATGGTAAATTCGCGATATTTCATACTGAACTGATTGATGAAAACCTGCCGAAATCTCTGGCATACTTGTGCAAAAGTAACGCGATCATCAGGGGACAAATATTCAAATATATAGTATAGGCAGTCCACATGGAGATCTTCTATACTTCTGGCACTCATTTCCGAAACGGTTGAAATAAAACTGAAATTAAAATCCCTGTTCTAATCGAACGCAACCTCAAGACACGTCGTTCTTTATTGTTGTGAGTAATATGTTGTTATTTGCACTCAGATAAGATACGTGCTTGCTATCAATTGGCTGGCAAACCAGTTTCTGGGTTTGTTTGTAGCTGACCTAACGCAAAATGTGCATTGTTTATGAAATTAAAAGCTATGCCAGCTGATTCGAAAGTTTATCGCTTTGCATTTGCTGGCGTCATCGAGCAGCTAGATCGGTTATCTAGAAAAAGCTTTGGCAAAAAGACTTAAGAAAATTTAATGATAATTTAAAATTTTATTATTAAAAGTCTTAAAAAATAAATGCGTTGAAATAGATTACATTTTTTAAACAAACGCTGTTTCACAAATGGTCATATTTTAGTTATAACGTCGTATAATATTTTTAATTTGAAGTCTTAAGAATAGGTACTTTTAAATTGTTTATTTTAAATATTTATGTCGATTAAATAACACAAGGATTTGTCAACCTGCTCCATAGGATATTGATTCTACCTTTTTAAGAATTTAGGCATGTTCCTCATGCGATAACAACATTCTTGCCAAGCTGCTGCTCAAACTTCGTAGTTTACATTTAGATTGATTAGCTATTATTTGAAATTAAAACAAAAATTGATTAGTTTTCTTAGGAAGTTAGGTATTAGGTACTCTTGCGACCCTAAAGTCTAAAATCAAAATCGAGCTCCAATTCGAAGTTTCGTATAGTAATTTCGTTTCTTATAAACGTGAACTTTGAACGTCCAAAGATTTCCTTGAGATATGTCACTTGGACAAGTGCAATAATTTCTTGAGTTTCGGGTTCGATTGCAATATTCATTTCTGAGTCTTCCAAATCAACAAATCTGTTACTTTCAATTAATCGCCTTAGTTCTTCTTTAATGTTGATCTTGACTTTCACCTCAAGTTCCTTCAGTTCTTTGATTTTGGTCAAAAGGTGTATATTATGCACATGAGTTGGAAATTGTGATGGGAAGGCTTCTAGCAAAGAAATTGCAGCTATTTTTTCCAAACACTTGGGATCATATACTCCTTTGATCTGTTGAATTTCCAAATCCCTTGTCAACTTTTGTTTTTCAAGCAATAGTGGGTTGATTTTGTTTTTATGCCAATTATTCAACCTTATTAGCATGTCCCTTTCCCTCTTTGTACGGATAACAAGTCCGATTTGTCCCCTATTTGCTATAATATCAATTCTGATATGGTCTAGTTCATACGGCGACTCCATTTCAATGGAACAAATGTTCGGCAATTCAAATGCACTTGGAATTGCTGGTGACCGGGTCGTTGCTAATTCGCATCTTAGTCTATGTAGAGAGTGAATGTTTGACAGTTCTTCGACTTCTTCTGGTTCGAGCATTGCCTGCTGGACTGACAGATATTGCAAAACAGTTGAACGATTTATCGCCATTGCTACAAAAAGCGCTCTCAGTGAACCTTGTTTTGGGTATCCGAATATAGACAAATCCTTCAGTTTTGGTAAATTAGCCAGTGCTCCGTACTCTTTGGCATCCGTTTCCGGTTTCATTTGAATAGTCAGACGCTCTAAATTCCTGCAGTAGGGTGTTATATCAGTTAGTCTACCGTACATTTCAGTGCTTATAAATTCAAGTTCGATAAGATTTGGATTCGATTTCACGCATTCCTTCAGAGCGTTGGCATCCATTGGCACATCCAGAAGTAGGCTCTGCAAATTATGAAAACTTTCCAGATGTTCAGGGGAGTAACCTATAAAAATAGAGAGCATTAAATAATTTTCAACAGAAAATGATACCTCATTACTTATCATTTGAAGAGCTATTTTTTTTAAGCTTGTCTTTTTTTGCAGAAGTCGCATAGTCCATTCAAATATTTCCACATGATCAGCACAGTATGTTTTCGGTTTGTAACTCAGGTAGCATCCAGTGACTCTTGTATTATCTTGAATAGCCATACAAAATATGTCCCAGAATGCCTCCTTCTCAGCTGGAGTGCAATTCCTCTGACTGACCAGTAGTTCATAAAAGTTTATGCTTAAAATTCTACATGTCCAGGAATGGAATTTCTCGACTTCAAGTCGTTTGTACAGGCATTGATTCCAATACTGAATTAGTGAATGAAACTGATCATTGGTAATAGCTAAATTAATGATATCCTTGTATCGAATTATGTCTGGAATGTTTCTTTGATCTCTCTCACAGTTATTTTTTAATTGCTCAAAAATCGAGAATAAGCAATAGTGGTTTAATGTGTAAGTAGACGGTTCACTCATTATAATAAATTGTATTATTTTTTCGAAACTTCGTGACTTAGGTGACTGTTTCCAATGAAGTTACTGTTGGAACTATTTCCGAAAATCAGTAATCTTTTCTGTGGCTAACGTATCAGCTCTCCCAATCACCTACAATTAGATAAGATTAAAACTACATAGAAAAAAATTGTTTTAACTAAAATAATGTTAAAATATTTAAAAATGTAAATTCAAATTATTTTAAATTTTCTATTTTCTAATGACATATAAAAGGGTATCTAAAAACATGATGCAAAAATCGAACATTGTTTACGGAATGAATCCTTGGGTCTTCCGGACTCAGATTATATTGATGAATACTTTTAGACTAAGTGATATCAAAACCCTTGTGATTTTTGTGGCACCTCTGATAACTAGTAATAATAAAAAGACATTTACCCCCAAGTTCTCAATATTCGCCTTTTAGAGATAACGAAAAACTTTCGTCCAGGTGTTAGCACACCCAAGCCATTATAAAAAGCTTATAATTGAATTTTGTATAATGTGCTGCGCTGGTAAAACGACTTACCTTCAGTAACCGTGGTCGCCGCGGTTGCCTTGCCCACATCCTGGCCTCACTTTTTTTTTAACTGAGCGTGGGTCATAAAATACCAGGACTGAAGGAGCTTGAGCTGGAGCATTTAATAGCTGGGCCCATAAATTCGCATGCTCTGTGATACAATTAGGGGAATTGTTCCGGCTATTGGTTTCTGGAACATCGCTGATAGCTGGTTCGAGGTCTTTTCCCTTGTCTTGTCTTTTTATTGGTTACTTTCAGGAAAGTTGACGCAAATGGCGAGCATTAAATTCGACTGGTTAACTGAAAGGAAATGAGTAAACTGACCCCTGTTTTTATACCAAAGCCCAGGATAAGCGATGTTTATTACAGTCAGTATTTATTACCAATTGGGTATAAATGAATTTTGCATTCTTGTTTTTGATGTGCTCGTTAGCAGATTGGTTTCTGTGTCTGACATGTTTTTGATTTTTACTTACCCACAAGGATTGATGTTAGTTTGCGCTCCAATGGTCTGTCAGCGCTTGTCGCCCGTCCAAAAAAGTGTGTAATTTAATCAGACGAAGGCCCAAGAAATAAAGTAGGCGTAATGTGGGAAAAGATGACAGGCAATGTGTTTGGTAGTCCCAGCCGCAGGGCACGACCTCTGATATTGTATTATGTTTTATCATTCTCTTATCCGTTTGTGTTGTCTCGTTGGCTGGCAAATGAGAAGACGACATTTGCATAAGTAAGAAAGTGTGAAAGTGAAACTGGGCTCCTTTCTCTGTGTGTTTTCCGTAAGCCGTTTTTGCGCTTTTGACAAATGACTTAAAGCCTTTTGGGGCATCCAACGGGCTATGAAAAGGGTTCAAGTAATTTGTTGAGACTCTTGAATATTGAATGTGAATGTGAACCACGTGCAGGGACACAACCGAATAAAAATGAAATATCTTTTTGGTGAGGCAACAAACAAACTGAAAAAGAAGAGCACTAAGCGTCATGGCACAAAATGCTTTATGTCCGAATTTGGTGAAATAAAATGCTTTATGGAATTTTCAGCATTACGCAATATCATCAGATGCCCCATCAACATTTCATAACCCCTTAAATATCCAATGTCCAAGTGAGGTTTTTTTGTGGAGTAAAATAAATGACATGCGATTTAAGTTTTAAACATTTGACAAACTTCTTATTCGATATGTGATATAAAAAAAAACTGTGATATTTGTAAAACGATTCAAATTAAAATATTTAATAAATGTTCCTCGAGTTTAAGAAATTCTTCTTTAACATTTCACTTTAAATGTGAATAGTACAGATGGTAAGAAAATACTTATCCCGAATGAACGCACATCTGTCTTTCATGTGCGTGATGAAAATCTCCCAAATATGAGTTCAGATTGGCTTATTCGTAATGCTTGTGCCCGGTTCCATTTCGGCTTTATTGCACCAACTTGCGAGGATGTCCGCCCAAGGAGGCGGTGGGCGGGGGGGGCGTGGGGGCGGAGGGGGAGGAGGTGCGTTTAATCCGGAAACTTATTTATGTATGCCTTTCCGGTCGTTTCCTTGCCCGACGCATTTCTCGCATGTGTAAGTTCGTTTATTGTCGCACAGACAATCGCACAAACAAGAGTGTTTGGATGTCTGGGGGTTTTACTGGGCGTGGGGGTGGGAGTGGGCGTGGTTGGGTGGCTGCCATTCTTATGACACGCCCGCGCACACTTTCACTTTACATAAGTTCTGTGGCCGGGGGTCCTTTGAAAGGGACGAGGCCGACGATCCGACGCTTCAGGAGGACATCCAGGAGCGTGTGTGCTTGTGTTGACAACACTTGATAATTCCCTGCATACACGCACTTTGACTGCAAGACACTATTATCCAATGCCATCGCATACACATGTATTCACATGATACTATACTTCCATTTATGTGCGCTTTCCGCCCTTGGGCATCTGGAAGTTTCTTGTCTGCAGCTTTGAATTATTTAAAATTGTTTTCTCGCCGCACTCTGAGAGGGCGTGCCTTGATATATATTCATAAGGGGGCAGATCGATGGCATTATGCGAAATATAATATTTGTCTTGGTCTATAAATTTTGATTTACAATATGGCTTTCGGGTTCTCGTTTGGCTTTTAATCGTGCTTCGGGTTAAGCGAGTCAACTTAATGGCACTTTGGTTCGGCCTTGATTCTTATCTGAACCCCTAAGGATATTTTCAATAACTTTACGTTTGTTTTAATTAAAGTAATGTCACAGAATGAGTAAATATTTTACAATTTTTGAAAATTTCGCCATTGTCGTCGAAAAGCTTTTTGGGATTTGAAAAAAAGTATGCAGCAATATATTTGTATTCCGGAAGAACGATGGATTAATTCCCAAAGACGGTGACATATTATTCCCCGCCTACTTTTAGTCACTTTTATAAGTTATTGCAAAACTCTTTGCATCTCTTTATTTCTTCATATAAATAATATAAAAATGTTTGTATGAATAAAGTTAAATCCTTTTAAGATTTAAACGAGTATTTTATAAAGTTGTTTCATAGCTTTGTAGCTTTTACACATAATTTTCAGTCGTGTGAGTGAAATTTAATTTTAAGTAAAATGGTTTTAATTCTTTCGAGTTGGTTTCTCTATAAGAAAGTGTTTGAGGGTCTGCCAAAATAAATAAATATACAACTTCACCGGCAGCACATGCATATTCATCTGAGCAGTGACATTGAGTTGTCGATTGGTTTGGTTTTTGCCCTAGTCGGTACTTCGACCCCGTGCTGGGTTAATTTAATTAACGTGCAAGGCAAAGAAATTACTTTCTGCTCCTCGAGCTCGCGGCGCGTTGAAAAGTTTTACAGCTGCGGATGGCGGAGACCTTCGCGGAAAAGCTGAGTTCACAGGGAAACGCCTGGCAGTCAGGCCATAGATCAAAGTACGCCTGCTGAGCACGGCTTTTCCGCTCTTTCCTTTTTGTATTCGTATTTGTGTTTCCTATGCGTGTGGCCTGTCAGCAGGTGTGTGTGTGAGTGTGTGTGTGTGCTGAGCCTTCTCGGTTTTATATAAAGTAGGTCAGTAGTAGTGCCGTGCCAATAAAAGTTAATGCTTCCAGGTGAGAGCCTGTGTGTGTGGGATGTGTGTGTCCTGGCCTGTTGATATTTTTTAATATTTATAGAATTTTAAAATGCCCGTTAAGTGTAGATATTAAACATTTAAATTCGAAAGCCAGTCGAAACTGTTTTTCAGCACGCTTTAAGGCACTTTATCGCAGAAAAATTAAAAAAAATGTACACTGAATTTATTCTTGTGCAGTTTACAAACAATGATGAAATCAGAACCAGCTAAGTAATGATTTCGTTACTTTAAAAAATCTAGCTTTTTCTCCGCATTGTAACCACACTGTACATTATCATTTTTTTTATAGAGTATGTACTCATTACATTTTTTATCTTATCTGCCATTAGATAGAAAATATTTGCTTGAAAAACTGTTTTTTTCTATGAAATACTTATACCCAGTACTTAGTCATTTGTTGAATTGCAACCGGAATGGATAGAATTGGAATATTGCAACTGAACGATTATTGCCTAGATAATATATTGCAATTCCTAGACATAAAAGAACAAATATGTTTCGCCCAAACCTGTTCCAGATTTCGAGATATTTTTTTTGACTGGTCGCGACGTGAAAATACAAAAGTTTCTATTTTGGGTGATGTTGAGCCCTGGGAGTTGACGTTCCTCAGTCTTAATACTAAAAGTGTAAAGGAGCTGAAACTCTTTGTTGATGATCTGGTTGATTCAATAATAATTTATGACAGTTACACTAAAAACAATCAAGTTGTTGTAAAATTCTGCAACCTGGTCCGAAGTATGAATAGCCTAGAGTGCATCAAGATATGGCAGGTAACACCACACCCGATCACTAAGCTTTTACTAAGGGCACTGCGGGACTTACCCAACTTAAAGCAACTGTATGTTGGCATTCCAAGTAAGTCTGAAATGTGCGATTACAATGATATTTCTACTATAAGTAACGATTTTTGTATGTATAGAACGAGTGAACTTTGGAAAATTCCACAGACTAGAGCTCATCTCAATAGATGTGAAAATGCCTCCGAGGGTTCTTCTGCGATACTGCCGATCTCTGACAAAGCTGAGAACCCTTCATCTCTCCGACCAAGTGAGCAGCTCTAACCTAAGAGATATAGTAGAGCATTTGCCCGCTCTACAGGAACTGAGCTTCTATATAGATCGCTCTACTAGATCGAGAATTACCGCCTGCCATAAAAAGCAAATTAACTCCCTAATAATGGTATTAGATTTTCTGGCTAGCAAAAGGACTTTAAAAGTCCTTAGAATCAAGGGACATATTATTGCTCAAGATGAGGCCGAATCTCTGACAAAAATACAATCACTACAGTCTCTGGATTGCAGTTTCGCCTACCCCGAGTTGGTGAAATATCTTTCGCTGCTCACGTCCTTGCAGATCTTGCGCATAACGTACCTCCATCCAATAGATATATCTTCGATATACCTGGATGTGATTCGACAGTGCAAGGATCTGCTGTTTCTTCGCCTCTACGACTTCAACATCAATCCGGACTTCCTTGGGAGAGCCTCCAAAGTATTGAAAGATATAGAATCAAAAAATAAGTTACAACTATTAATCTACGGCCGCCACAACTCACTAACTTTAAGGGAGTTCCGATCGAAGGCATTAGATACAAATAATCTGTTATTCCGTTCGATATCAGCCACTGAATTATTAAAAATTTTATGAAAAAGAAAATTATGTGAATATATATTGGAATATATTCTAAATACATACAACAATTTTAAAGCATTGTTGTATGTATTTAGAAGATATTCCAAGGCCTAATTTATTAACTATTTTTGAATTAACTTTTTTTTCCTGTTCCTGTTGTTTTTTCAAATATTTTTTAAATAATCCTTACTTGTACAAAGTTATACCATCTTAGGCTTCATTAGCTAAATTTTTTTTTCACAAATTATAAAGGTGCGTGGCCGAAACACAACCAAATCGAGGTTTTATTTCCTTATTTATATTTCTCCCGCCCATTTGGATGAGTTCCCCTGCGGGGTTCAAAGCCGAAAAAAGTTAAAAGTAAAAAGCATTTTTGGGGGTGGAGTAGCATTTTCAATTATGCGAAACGCCGAACTGTTAATGAAATGTGTCAGAAACAATTTGGAATAATTTTTCACTTAAAGCTAAAAACAATTTATAATTAGAAAAGGCTCTTAGAATAAGAAAACGAGGACGAAAACGAAATGATGGCACCTGTTGGCAATCTGCAAAGTCGCAGGCTTTTCTCTCATTTTCCAATGACAGAAAGCAGGGCGCAGGACAAACAAACACTGATTGCGGATGGACGGGAGCGGAAAGGGAAAGGGACAGACGGGGAAAACAAAATGGCAACTGGCGGAGACGGAAATACGTCAAGTGTGGGCACAAAGCCGTCAAGAGAAAGCGGAAGTGGGCTGCAAAAAGAAGAATAAGTTGGCGGGCATTGTGTCCTGGCGTAGAAAATATGGGGTGGCGGAAATTATTGTTTCTATTTTAGATTTTGCTGACTGTTTGTCGGGTAAACTTTTCCATTTATGACTTACCCGCACTCATTCTAGTTTTTGTGTTAGAAAAGTTATTTTTTCTAAAAAAAATTAAATTTAATGAATCCATTATCTTTTTGAATGCTGTTTGAGTACAGTTGCTAAAGTTTAAGTTTCCACGAAAATGACTAAAGTTTTGGCCAACATTTATTGACTTCGATTTGAGACAGAGATTAAAGAAGTGCAATTTAAGAATTGAAACCACTAACTATTTAAAGCAAGTCGCTCAAGATTTATTAACTTGTTAGACAAGTGTAGGAAATTGATTGCCTTGTTCTTGTCTTTTAAAAACTTGAGAAAGTAATTGCATTGTTTGACAAAGGCCCAAACAATACCGTGTAACCTTTTCACTGTTTACAGTCTTGACTTCCATTGCCCTCGGGCTGAAGTTTCAAAGTTTTTGACAAGACCCTTGACTTGTTGACTCTTGAACTAGCCTGACATGGTGCAATGCTTCATCTGACTATTTCGTAATTGGATATTTCGAAACATTTTAAAATGTCGTGCAAATTCGGTGGCAAGATGCAGAACTTGGTGAAGTGTTTCAATTAAAACTTGCTCAACTTGTTGACATTTATCGAACACAAAGCCCTCAGTGTCGCATCCTGTTCTGTCTATGGTTTTTGTCAAGCTCACAACCCCTTCTTTTCCCACAAATAAATATGTATATAAAAGACATCCACTTCGCCTTTCATTTCCTGGGGACTCCTCAGGATAATGGTAGTTCTTAATGTCATTGTTGAAGGGCTCCCAGTTCACCGGTAATAGACATCACATAGCAATTCCCCTGATATTTGCTGAGGAAGTGCATTTGCCAAAGGACATTTCACAGCAATAACCAGAAACAGGGCTCTGCATTCAATGAGTGACTTTCATCGACTCGCTTTGGAAGTTGGTGGTCAGGAAAATGCAGTTAAAAGTTATTTGATTCGTACCGAGAGTTTTTCTTGCTCTATTTGCTTATTGACTTGTAAAAACTGTTTACAAACTTTAATATCATAAAATCTGACTAAATGAATTCCAAGTGTAGCAGATTTAATGGCTTTTACATATTCTGCTTACATCTGACCATAAAAAAGCTATTTTTTTAATTACCTTTTTTAGGTGCTCTAATAGCTAACAATTTTGTATTTTTCTATTACTTTAATTACTACATAAAGCTATCTTTATACGGGAAAAAATGCTCTTCTACTTAAAAAGTCATTTCATATGCGGTCATTTATTTGAACAATAATGACTGCTAACAGGAAAAAATAAATTAATGTTTGGCTCTCATTAACTCAATGGCCTTGTCCATCGATGCATTTAACATCTGTTCTACGATTCATTGACCTATTTAAAGAGAGAAAGAAATTAATCCAGGAAAGTTTTCAAACAAACAACGCGGCATGGGTTAATGTCAGGCCGAAATACGAAATTAATATGGCACGCAATAAGTTTGACAGACTTTCGTCGGCGAATTTCTCGGGACCTGAGATTTTCACACACACGCGCAAAGTGATTGCGTTTTGTTGCCATCAAAATACACATAAATAATCCAATTAATTGACAACGGCGACACGAGGCATCCTTCTGGGACCTCGAATAATTGGTTCGCAGCTAAAGGCCCTCACTCAAAGTGGCGGTTTGAAGTTTCAGACACAGTTTCAGGTGTATTTGATGGACCGTACCCCCTCCACCCCTCCCCACCACCCCCGAGACCCGCACAAAACGGCTAATTGGTTGCACAGAAAGGTACATAATTGGCAGAGCGGGTAACGGACCAATCGGACCCGGACCGAACAGTTTAATTGAATCTGCCCAGAAGGGATCCCTGTAATAAATATACATGCGCTGGGGGATGTAAAGTATAGAATTTCTCATATTTGGCTAAAAATTATTGAAAGTTTCACAAGTATATTGAAATGTTCAAATATGAAGTGCTTAACGATGGCCAACTTGTGAATAACTAATATTGACCCACATTTTTGTTAAAGGCCTTTTTTTTTAATGATTGTAACACAATTTTATAACTTTCAATAATGAAGCCCTCTGGGGCCAATTAGTCAGCACAAAGCTTAAATTAATAAAAAGCAAACGCGGATGAAAAATGTGGGACAAATTTTCACCACTATCAGTCTACAGTTTTTTTTTTACCATTTTTCCGCTTTCACATATTTAAATAATTAAAACCAAATAAGGTTCACTTGCCGACTTTAACGGTTGAATTGATGTCCAAAGTCAGCGAACCGATAAATGCGAGTTCATAATTCTTCGCATTGCATTTTGTAATTAAGTGCACAAATATTTATGCTTGGCTTGAGGGATGATATTTTTTCACATTAAATGCATAATTAGCGCTGCTCTTTTGAATAATGTATTTTAATAAACTTTCGACGTATGCCTTAAATAAATATCATAAAATGCGTTGACCTCAGTAGCCTTGATTAAAATAAATGTACATCTGGCTTTTGAGAGCGAATGCATTTTACAGGCCATGGCCTGGTCTTTATATAACAGCCACCCTTACTCTGCTTTTTGCATCAATATAAATATATTCGTGCATTTTTTTGCCCCGCCACTCTTATCATTGTGTGTGAATGGAAAACCCACACCCGAAATGCGAGAATTCATTCAATTGCAATTGCAAATTTGTGTCACTGAACTGTGAAACAATAAAGATTATCCGTGCCGGAGATGAGAGAGCGATGTATGACCGGGTTTCGGTTACCAATTTAAATATCAGTTGGTCTGACTTACGGAGGAAGAAAACCGAAAACGATTTATCTGCCGTCCACGGAAGGCTTATGCGATCCCGAAAGAGCCAACGGAAAGCAAAGGATCATGGCTAATGAGAATGAAATTAAAACAAATACGTGAATAGTTAATGCCAGAGACCTGAATTAATCGCAAATGAAGGAGCCACAAGAATGTGGTTTCACAGATGACTGCCTGTGCATCCGTTGACATTGTCTGATTAAGAGTGGATTGAAGTGATCCGGGTGATTGGAGAGTTCTTTGTATTTTCTGGGCCATTGTTTGCATTGGTCTGGAGCCAGGTCAGCAATGGGATTGGCTTTCAATCCGATTGGCTAAGTTGTGTCTGGATTGGCTATTTGCATGGCACTCAACTACTTTGCAGATTTGCTTGTCCTGCCTATATGCCGGCATATTTAATTAGCAGCAGTCTCACAAAATTGCCCGACATCTGACAAATTATGCCAATGTGCCCCGTCTGTCCTTGTGTCCTTGTGTCCGTGCATTGTGCGACAGGACTCGGACACTAATGCACTCGGCCTAAATAATTTAACATTCATTGTCTCTTTCCAGCGTTTCCCCCACACTCGGCTTGTGTGTTTTCAACGAGTTTTCAGTGCGTAAATAAAACAGAGGCTGCTCGATGCTAAGTTTGCACATTGCCACTCGCATCACACACACTGCGTATACGCAATTTGCATTGCATTCGAAACTGGCCCCAGGCACTTTCAACACCGCAACACAAACGCACAAACATTGCCAAGTGCCAGCTGTTGTCTATTAAACGTCGATTTCAATTTGTATATGGCTTAAAAATTGCAATTGCAAAACCTTGGCAATTCCCAAATTTTACAAATATTTGACATTTTCCATTGCCTACTTGCTCAGTTAAATGAAATACCCACCCTCGACAGCATTCGATTTCCCAAGTGTCATTATTTAATTATAACTTAAGCCGCAGCCCAGCTGACAAAATACCTGCGTCATGAAATTCCGCTCAATTGCATTTCCCGAAAATAAACACCTGTCATTCTGGTGGGTGGATGTGGATGTGGTGTGGCAAGGAAAGTGTATTCCTTCTGCAAGCACGGAGTACAAATTATTTGCAGCAAGTGACAAGCTTGTTGAATTTAATCAAAATGCAAACTTACTTGTAACGCAAATACTTGTCTTTTTCCGGTGTGTCAGGAAAATGTCTGCGAATGCATGTCCTTAATTTATTTAATTTCATCTGTATGAGTTGCAATCCAATAATGTTGTCGGCAGGTGCAAATTGAATTTATTGAATTTATTTAATTGTCGTCTTGGCTGGCCTATGTTGGTTTTCAAGAAAATTTATGGCCCTTTGCAAGTAATACAAAGGAATTTAAAAAATGATTTATATATTTGAAATGCCTATTTTAAATACGAACTCATAAAATGATTAGTATGAATTCATAAATAATCGTTTTCAAAAAATGTTGTTGTCAGCTTCATACACTGAAATGGTTTATTTATAAGTTTTATCTGGAATTAAACAATTTTAAAGTTTACAAAATAATCTGTCTGTTTAAATGCAAACCTAATTCTCTTTTAAATTTGGTGCCGCCATCATCTGCAATCAAAAAATTGTTTAATAATGTCTGTGTGTTTGATTAAATACTAACCTCTTCTACTGTTTTATTTTTTTGACATTTCAAGTTTATAATAATATTTAAATCATCCTGCATTTTTGGATCCCTTTTGGACATAACCTCATACTGAAGGCTGTTTAAAAATTTTTTTGTTATTCCGTTGGCAGGCACTTTGATTTGAAATGAATTCAGCTTTCGGCAGTTCTTTAGAAGAGGTCCTAGGCATCTCGGAAAGTAAATATCTTTTGGGTTGTGCTCTGATAACACCTCAATATCGACTAGATCTTTCAACTGAGCCAGAGGCAAAATGTATATTAATTTCTCAAGCCCGCAGGAGATTTCCCTCAAACATCTTAAGGTTACCATAGCTTCAACAACGGATTGGGTTAGGTATATGGAGTTATCAAACATTGAAGGGGGATAATCTATATAAATCTCATGTAGCGATTTTAAGTTAATTGTGGATAGATTAAGAAAAAAGTGACAAGTTGGTATGTTTGATGACAAAAATGTAAAAGTGCGTATATTATTGACCAACGGAAGTGGCAGTTCATCTTTATAGTATCCGCTATCGTAAATCATATTAAGGCTTCGGTTTTGGGGATCCAAGGTAATGTCGCATGCATCGCTTTTGATCTCTACACCCAGTTCCAAAAACATGTACAATGTCGATTCCATTGACACAATCATTTCGTCAGGCAGCCAAAGTCTTGTCAAGTTCTCGAGTTTCAAAAAAGGTTCAAAATTAACAAATCGAAACATTTCCGCATCTCTTGTGCAAATAGCTAGGTGTCCCCTTCCGGTAAACGACAGTTTTGTATCAAAACTTGAGACCGTCACTTTTTTCTCAGTAAATCTGCAATATCATCCGTAACTAAGTGGCCTTTATTAAGTATAGTCAATCGGTTTAGTGTTGGATGCCATTTCAGGTGTCTTATGCTTTTGGGATCGCAAAATCCGCACTTCAACATTCTTAGACTTTTAATTTGTGCAATGGTCTGCAGCATTTCATCATCAATATCGAAATTTAAACATAATTGGATAAGTTTTGATTTTTTCTTTTCGCTGAAAGCTTTGAGAAGTTGAAGTACTTGAATGGGTCTCTTTGAATCTGTGACTCCTTCAAATAGAGACTCGTATTCGCTGTCCATTTTGGGTCGTTTTGATGTGAAGTCCTCATCCATTTCCAAGTCATGTGGCCTATCCCAATGTTCCATTGGGACATTGTCTTCAGCTACATTATCATTAGGGATAAAAAAAAGAACTTGCTCAGATATCGGTTTCCAATCGATTTCTAATTGTGTTAGCTTATTCAAAAGTGCAAGCTTAACGTAATTATTATCCATTGCATTATCATTAAGCAGGAATTTAAGTTTGGACAGTGTGGAACGATTTGCGTTATTTTTCCATAGTCGAAAAAACGGATTTGCATTCACTTCCAAGGAAACCAGTGAAGGATTTTTAGAGCAAAACTCTGCAAGGTCGGTTATCTCAAAATTTGCGGTTAAAGTCAATTTGGATATATTGCGAAAGCGCCCTAAGTTTTCAATGCGATGATCTGCAAAACGGAGAATATTTTAGTTGGAAACTATTAAAGTACACTTACAATCTATTTGCCTCCTATATCCACAATTATTTCTTTAAATTTTGGAATTTTATACGGATCCAATATTATGCGGTCAGCATTGCCCTGAAGTCCATTTATTATTTCATCAAATATGCTCTGATGGGAGCTGATGAATTTCTCAGTTTTATAGCTCAGCTCAATGGTGTTAAGAAGGGGATTGCCCATCATTGCCTTAATATAAATGTCCATGTACCGGTCTCTCTTTTGCTTTGTTGCTCTTTTCAGGGTTTCGTGAATCTCAATAAATTTGACAGTAATTCGTTTGTGGGGCACCACATGCAGCAGATCTAACTCCAAGCTGTGATACATCTCTCTGGACCAATCCCAAACGATGCGTCGAAATATCTTGCAGGTGGCAGCAAAGTTAAAGATATCAGCATACTTGATGGGGTACACAGATTCATTGCCATTCTGTATTTCGCAGTTTGTCTTTACGTAGTCCAATATGCGAAAGAGGTCATATTGACTGATATTTGTTATAGAGCTCATTGAATAAATTATATATATATATATATTATTCACGTTTGCCAAACGATCGCAACAGCACGTCCGATTCGCTCGGTATTGGATGGAACACTGGTTTTTAGCTCAGAGAGGATTATACTGGAATGCCAATATAAGCTTACCCTATAATTATGGGGTGGCTTCGGCTTTTTGAAATTGTACCTATAAAATCATAAGTACCAGCAGCAACGACTACGACGACATCTTTTAAATAAATCTTTTTTTTTTCATATTTTCCCAATAGTATTTGGCACCTATTCTATCTAGACATCTGATTAAAAACAGAGAGAGGGTACTTTTCCTTCCATGTATTTTCCTGACATACATTTTTTATCACCTCCTTGGGAGCGTCAGCGACATAAACTAAACAAATAAGCTTTGTATATTCATATATGTGTAGATACGCGTGTTCACATTCGGGTGGACCTAAGCTTAATACGCCTTTACTTCATAAACATTTTAATTCTTAGTTAAAAATATTTTTTATATAAATAGCTCGTAATTTTTAAACACTCTTTTATATGTTTAACTAAGCTGAAACTAACTTTAAATATTAAATTGTATAGAATACATGCACGTACATCAAAGCTTAAACCAATAATTTGTATTTTATAATTATATTTGTATATTTATAAAATTATGAGTAATCCAGAAGTAAGAAAAGACATTGCGATTGCTTGAATTTCTGATTGTATTAAAAGTAAACAAATACTGCATAGTTGTTGATTAATCAATCTTGATAACAAACTGCAATCAGCTTGAATGGAAAATATTACTGGTAATCGATGCAACGAATAAATAAACCAATGAAATCAGATAGTTATTAGACATAAAAAATATTATAAAATAATATTCTTGGGGTATGGACGGGTGTAATGTAGTGCTCGTTATGCTGATGAGCCGACGGACATCATTAGGTAAAAGTTGTGGGCATCGCTGGGATTTATGATCTCCGCTGCGTCTTTTGAATGAAAACTTAAAGCGCAGTTTAAGTTTGTTTAAAGTAGTTGCCGCGGCCAAGTGAAACTGGCAGCTGCACTTAATTTGCAGTCAGCTCATTTGTTTTGCCAACCACCCACCGCAAGTCTCAGGAAGCGTGCATTTTTCTCAGCATTTTCCCCCTTTTTTTATCCTACTTTTCTCATACTCCTTACGTCTCTATTTTATGGTGGGCGGTAAGTAGGGAATATGAAAAAAAGACGGGGAAACTTTAGAAGCCGTTACTTCTTGTTGTCCCATCCCCCCGACAAATCCTTCCGCTCCCCGTAGTTTTGTGGTGGGTGCGTGTAATCTACTCAAAGCAAATAAATTTTTAATGCTGACTAATGTAGAAAATGTGAGCAGAAATTTACCTGGAAAACTATAAGAGACCTTGGCATCAAGTTGCGCATTTTTACTCCATCCAGTCGGCTCTATGAAAGTATCCTTCGTCCTCCGTTATCGCAATTTGCAACTGGATTCTGTAAATTGAAAAAGCACTCTTTCCGCCTGCAGATTTACTTGGGGTTAAAAAATCATTTTTAAAGGTTAGTCTTTAATTTCAGTTCATGTTTCAACTTGACAGTGAAGAAAGGGTTTCATAAAACAAGTTATTGCAAATGTCAAAAATGTTGGCAACATTTTGAGGCATCGATTGCACTTGCAATTATTAAATCAACAAAGAGCGCAACAAATTGGCAAAAATTGTAAGTCATTAAAAATAATTCAAAACAAGCATCACAGAAAAGTTTTACACCAAAAAACTTGAAGACATTTTAAATGCGAAAATAACTGAGACAATAACTGGGCGAGGGGGTGATGCTGAAAATTGCAAGGCAGCAGCAGTCGCAGCAACAAATTGGCAAAATTCATAACGAGGCGAAAGGGTGCAGGGGCGCATCAAAAATATTTTAAATATTATTTATTTATAATATTTCATAAGCATTAAATATTAGTAAATTAAATATAAATTTCAATGTGATTTAAAACTGTTGATCATGTATATATAAATATAAATGATGTCAATCCAACGTTCTTTATAAATAAAATAATTTTTAATTTAAATAATTATGGAAATTCCAAATATTAGGTATCCCACTACGCCCATGAGCAAAAATGGCCAGACAAGCGCCGAAAATGGCTCAAAACCGTAGCAAGTGACAACGAGCTAAGGAAGCCCAAAGGATGCTGCTGCTGCTGCTGCTACTCTTTCAGTTGTTTCTGTTTGCCGTTGTTTTAGTTGGTAATGAAAGCGACTGGTGTCGAGGGGCGGGAGGTGATGGAAACTGGCCAAACATTAACGAGCATCAGCGAAAAACTTGCAACTTGCAGACGCCTGCAACTGAATCAAGTTTTGCAGCAGAAAGGGGCCGCATTGCATTGTTTGCGAAATGCTTCGAGTAAATTATTCAGAATTGCTGCGGAGCAGCCAAAGCCGAAGCAAAAGTTAAGCGCCCAACAAAATGGAATTTACATTGCCTTTCACAACTTGCTCGCCGATGTCTTTGTTGCCATTGTTTTGTGTTTTGTATTTGTGAGGGTTTTTAATAAACTTAATAACTTTGCAATTTGTAGCTGCAATCAGGACGCGGAGCCAGCTGTTCCCCTCATGCAAATGGCCAAAGGCTCGGACACTTCAAAAGCGGAGAGCCACCACATGGCGTATACTTAATTTGCAGGCGCATTATGCAGGCGGCACATGCCAATTAATAAAATAAATTCCTAAACAACGCAGCAAACTCATAAATTGCGAGGGGGCAAGGTTTCCAATTCCCTTTAATTTTCTTAAAAGGTTCTGCTCATCCCAAAAAATTATCCCTGCGGCAAACCTCGACTCTATGCTCTTTAAAAATGCATGCCCAGTCCCATATCAACCGCTGAATCCTGAATCGATCCTTCAGAAGTGTCCTCGCACTGCTCTGAAGCACGAAGCAGATGTTGTTGGCGGCGGGTCATTGAATAAACAAACATCTGTGGCAAGTGAGGTTAGGACACAAATTGAATTTGCGCCCTAAAAGAGCATAACAAATAGACGACACGCATACGCCGTGTGGTACGCAATGCCACAAAACCCACATGCATGTCAGTGGATAACCAAGACACTGGACAGCGCAAAAAATCACTCACTCACTCACTCATCCAATCGCTCACCTGAAGTGATGGGAAACGCCCAGGTAATTGTACCTGGCTACATTGTTGGGTACATATTCACAGTTTAAAATATTACAAAATATTTATATTCTACGATAGCTTAAAATATGTTAAAAAAGAAAAAATATTCCTCACAGGATTAGCATTAGAAGATAATGCTCTTTGATGTTGTTTCTTTTTAATATGTAAATGTCATGAGCTTTTGACTTCAGAAATTGCTTTAATTATATATAATTATAAAAATAATGTATTTCAATTAAATATCGAAATTTTGAAGGTAATTTCTAGAGTAACATTGAACTATGAAAGTTCTTTAAGTCTAGTACATCTAGGACCCCAACTAACCACCAATTTAAGGTACCTTTCCATCACTGCTCACCTGACCACCACATCCAGTCAGCCATGACGACGCTTAGATATTTTTGGCATGCGTGGCGAGTGACAGCGAATGGCAAAAACAGGTCCGCAACAAGGACACATCTGCTCCTGCTGCTGCTGCCCAAATCCCGACTCAAACGCTCACCCACATGGCTACATCATCATCATCATCATCGCTATAGCGATGGCGTCTGGATAATGGCCGTCCCGGAGATGACAGTTAACAGTTGCCGAGCTGCCCAGCACCAGGTAAATAAATCAAACAAAAATGGCGACTTTCGGCTACGTGACGGGCGAACTGAAATAGCAAAGATACACACTCGTATATAGACGACAAAAGTCACGGAGGCTCAATAGCTTGACTGATTATCGTTCGGCTAGCATATAGTACCTCGAAAGTTGGATTTGGGTGACCCGCTGAGATGTGCGTGACACAAATTGCGGGCCAGACACAAAAACAGAAACGGACCCTCTGACACGCTGACAAATGCTTCCTGTAAGATGTCTGTCCATGTCCATCAATGGACTCCATGGAGGAACAGCTGGCCAATAGCAACAGTTAAGTCGAATTTGACACATGAAGCGGAGTCCGCTTGGCAGAAATCAATAATGTCTAGTGGAAAGTCCTTAGAAAGGCAGGAAATGTCATGCCAAGGATTGATATGGCTCGACTGCAAAGGGAAAAATTTGTCATGTGAAAGAGTTTCACAGATATAGAAATGTGTGCCATTCATTTTGTAAAAGTTATACAAATGTTTGAAAAAAGTGCTCTAGGTTCAGGAAAGAATGGCTTACTGAAGATCAAATATCAATCCTAGAAAGATTTATTTTATTGTATTATTTAATAATCAATAAATTATAAATTCCCTAAACAAGCGAATTGTAATTTATGTATCTTTTGATTGTATTTGATGTGGAAACGTTTAATACAAATTGAAAATACACGGTATTTTAAATTATACTATTTAAATGTAAGTACACACAAGTCACATATATTAAGGGCATGAAATAAAAACTATTTTTCTTTATTTTGCAACAGCCCAATTGACTTAAATAACCTCTTTGCTTTTATTGCAATCAAACCACTTTTTTGAAACTCATCGCCGGCAAATGCAATAAAATCACTTTAAGTTGTGAAGCGCATTCAACTGAAAGCCGTAAAATAGAATGGCTCGCTGAATTTTTGAATGATGTGTATTATTTATGGCATTGCCGAGCTGTGGTCCTTTTGGTTTATGTGACCTCACCTGACCCACTGAACCAGGTGACCCCGATCGACGACCCCCCTCTGTGCAAACGTGTCTCCATCTGTAAGTGCCGAGCAGTGCCACACAATTGAATATATTATGGAATATATATTGCGGCATATATTAGACTACCATTGGATTGTGGTCCGTGGTCCATGCAGCATTGTCTGTACATGGTGGACACTACGGCGCTGTTTGCTTTATGGTGATCACTCAATTTGAATTAATTTGCGGCTGTCATGCCAACCTTAAATTAGTTTGCAGCGATTTGCATAAACACAAGTGGAAAC